ATAATAAAAAAATTAAATTTAAATTTTTATGAGAGAAAATATTGTAATAATATGATTTGAGTCATGAAATGAATAAATTTTTAATTTTTAATTGTTAAAAATGGTCAAAATCACATCAAATTAAAATGTATGTAGAACAAACAATTTTAATACAAATTTGATAGTTGAAAAGTAAAAAATTAATAGTAGTTCATTTTTTGGCACGTTTATTTATAAGAATGAGAGTCGATCTCATATTTACTTGTTCTTTTTTATCATAAAATGGAAATAAGATTGGTGGACCCCACTCAAAGTTGAGATTGAGGAATGAGATTAGCATTCTCATGCCCCCTTGAGATTATGACTCTCATTCCTAATATTAAATTACTATCATGTCTTTATTTTACTTATAAATATATAATTAAAAAATTTTAAAAATAATAATTACAATCTATATTTATTATTTTATTGGCCTAATGTTATAATATTATAACTTTAATATAACAAATATGTACTTATTTGTTAATAAATTAATAATAATTACAACCTACATTTTTTATTCTATTGGCCTAATGATATAATATCATAACTTTAATATAACAAATATGTACTTTATTTGTTAATAAATTAATAATATATTTTAATTTTGTAACACTATTTTTTATTCTTATTTATTTTATTTAAATTTGAACGATTTATTTTTATATTTTAAAGAAGTGTATAATTTATATTTATTATCCTATTATTACACTAAATATTTTAATTATGATTAATTTTAATATAATAAGTACACAATTTATTTTTAAATTAAAAATATAAAAATGACTTAAAGGGTACATTAGTAATTTTATACTAGTTCATTTTAATTCTCAGTGTAAATAAACGCGTGAATGAGATTTAAAGTGATTCTGATTTTAAATCTTGTCACCAAATAAACAACTTTTTTTACTATGATTATTCACTTTAAATCATACCCGCTCTAAATTTTGTCAACTCTAATTGATACTCATTCTGATTATGCGTAAATCAACTTGTCATTTTAGTACTATAAAATAAATTTCCTAAGATATATATGATTGTTTATTTTTACTTGACCGCTAATCTGGAAAGCTCATTACTGCTTTCCTTTTTGTTTTCATTTGTGAGTCAGTTGTCGTTGTTCATTAAAGTCCGTGTTAATATAAGTAGGCATAATAATAGTATATACTGTAAGATGCTGTGTTCCACTTCCAAGTTCCACCAAAAGACCAAAGAAAGATCCAACCCCACCAAAACAAAACAAAAAAAAACAAAAAACAAAACAAAAAACAGAGACAAGAGGTATATCCAAGAACCGCAAGTTTCTACACTTTAAACTTAGTCCGTATTTCCTAATCGTGGTATGAGAAAATTTGAAGTTTAACTATTATTTTTTTCAACTATTAGTTATATTATTATATAAAATTTTAATGTCACTATAAAAAATAATTTAAAAGTTATGAAAGATAATTTGTAAGTTATTTAATTATTAATGATATAAAATAAATTTAACAATAATAACATAAATAAAATAGTATCATTTTATTGATGACATTTTTTTAAATTATCCTTTTATTGTTGTGCCCTACTTAAACAATTTTCTCTTCAATAATGTCCTTACTGTATATGTAAATATTTATTGGGCCTAAAGGCCGACCCACTTCTCGGCCCAAGCCACGTAAAGATACAGGTCGTCTAGCCATGACTTTTTTTAGAAGAATAATCTTAACAAATATTTCTTAAAAATAACTTTGAAGAGTCTTGATTTTTACTCTTTACTCTTTATTAATACTTTTTTTAATCAAATAACTATATTAATAAAATAGTACTTATTAATACTTTTTTTTAATCAAATAACTATATTAATAAAATAGTACTAATCAAAGTAAAAGATAAACATTCAAATCCATATATATTTTTAAGGGTAAGTTTAACAATTTTCTCTTTTAAAAAAAAAAATGAGACAAATACCTTTAGAGTGCATAGATTTAGATCTTTACACTTTAGTTTGGAATAATATTCTTGTTATTCAAATAACTATACTAGTAAAAAATATATTAATCAAAAGTATGGATAAAAATCAAGAACCATATGCTCTGAGGTAACTTGAGCAATTTTTCCTTTAAAAAATATATATAAAATTAGGAGTGACCAAAAACCTAACAATCTGACGAACCCGATTAACCCACCAAACTCAACCCATTTTTACCCAAATCCGGTCAACTCGATGAAGAGTTCAACCCAACCTACCCTATCTGACTATTAATTGGGTGGATTTAGGTTGAGTTTTTCTTAACCTAAATTAACCCGAACCACCGCCTAATCTATTTATCTATATAAATAAATATTTTCCTACCTCATAATATATAATTTTTGTCTCATATCTTACATTATTTACTTGACAACCTATTATATTTTACATGAGTTCTTATTATTGTTTGTTTGTTGGTTTACAACTTATATATTTTAACTTATTTTGCATATATTTTATTTTTATATTAGTTTATAACTTATGTGATAATTTTAGAACTTTATAAAATTAATATTATAATGAAGTTAGCTTTATTTGTATACAATTTTAAATTTGGGTTGAATGATTAGCTTTTTTTATTTTTTATTTCTTTATTATGTTCAACCTAATGAACCCACCCAACCCACCCAAATTTTAGTTGGGTGGGTTGATTAGTGGGTAAAATTTTAGATCAATCCACCCAACTTAATTGGGTGGGTTGACAAATCTCAAAAACCCACATGATGTTCACCCTTGTATAAAACATACGATCTGCCCCTCGAGTTCGACCGAATGTTTTCTTTGTTTGATCTGCCTGTGCATGCTCGTCCTCTGGATTAGGCCAAGACCTGTAAGTCTGGATTAACTCATCTAGCCCGATCCTGAACCCGTCACTGTTGGTCTGGACCCATTCTAATCCTAACCCTCGGGCCGGACTAGGGCCGGTTGTTAAAAGAAAATTGTTTTCAGTATTTTAACAAAACTTTGCTTACTTTAGAGTATTATATTTATTTCTTTAAATACTAAAAAAATTATCATAACCACAATAGTGACAAAATAAGAAACCTCGTGAAAATCATCTAAAAAAATAAAAAAAACTCTTGAGATATCAATTGTAATAGATTCAGCACAAGAAAAAATTATAATTTTTTTTAGAAGAAAACATTATAACTTTGAAGTTGTTGTTTTTCTATAAGAATAATGTTTTATTATTACGCTCAATTTCTTTTAATCAATTATAAATTTACATGTCACCTCTCACATATTATATTAAAAGTCTTGTCTAGTATTACATAAAAAAATACCAAATAATACTTTCTAAAAAAAGAAAAAAGAATATCATAGTGATAATTAAAGCTGTAGGTTTGGAGTGGGGTAAACATGTCAACTCGAAACTCGTCATTGTTGTCCAAGGCCTTAACCTTTGAGTCGAGTTGGGATGAGATTTCAAGCTTGAAAGCTTATTCGGGCCTGCCCGTTTTCGGCCCAAATGCTTTAATTTATTTTTAAATATATTATAAAATTTTAGACCAAGTTGAGTCGTCTCTTACCTGTCGAGCTTTAAGACTGGCTGGGCTGGGTCGATTTTCTCCTTTTTAAAATCAGGCTGGACGGACCAAACTTTCAACTCGAGTAGTGATGAGCATTGCCCCTAGCATTTTTGTTTTAAAAAAAAGGACAAATTTTATAAATTTCTCTTGAACTTTGTCACTTGTGTCAACATATGTCCTGAACTTTAAAATGTACGTGTTGTACTCCCTGAACTTTGTCACTTGTATCAACATGCCCTATGAGATTAACTCCGTTAAATTTTTTAACGGACATACTTATAAGAACCCCCTGAACTTTATCACTTGTATTAATGTACCCCATGAACTTTAAAATGTACATGTTTTGCCCCCGACTTATGATATGTCTCCAATTTTTTCCTCACCATCTTGATTATATCAGTTTTTTAAACGAAAATGTTGATATGACCATTAAATTGAAAATTATCTATGATATTTGAGGTTTGTTGAATACCTTCTCCTCTAAAAATGTTAGTTAAGCGCATATTCTCAAAACATTAGTTGATTAGAGGCAATAAAAGGGGAAAATGATGAGCAAATCTGTATAATGTACTGAATTTTGTTAGTTTTTTTCTTTAATATTTTACCCAGATAGAAGTGCTCGACATAAAACATATTTATGCACTATACATAAATAACATTTTTAGATCTAAATGCGTTCAGGTCATTTATTTTATTATACATTTTTTTTTTAAAAATCAACACAAACTTTAAGAAACCATTAACTTAACAAACTTTAATGGTCAAATATCATAGATAATTAGTAATTTAATGGTCATATCAATATTTTCGTTCAAAAACTGATAAAATTAAGATGGAGAGTGAAAAGTTGGAGACATATCATAGTTCATAAGGCAAAACATGTACATTTTAAAGTTTATGGAACATATTGACACAAGTGACAAAGTTCTTGAGGTGTTTATAAATATTTCCGTTAAAAAACTAAACAGCGTTAACTTTAGGGGGCATATTGACCCAAGTGGCAAAGTTACGGAGGTACAACATATATATTTTAAAGTTCAAGAGACATGTTGATACAAGTGACAAAGTTCAGGAATAATTTATAAAGGCCTCGTTCATTTCACATCACAGATTCGAGATTTTAATTTCAATTTTGCTACAGTTAAAAACTCTCATCAAAAGTCACTTTTAATTTTTTCTGCTACAGTTAAATATTCTCACATAAAATCACATTTTAATTCGAATTAAAAACTTAAATCAGCGAATTAAACTAGGTTAAAATTTATCCAAAAAAAATAAAGAAGAGCTTTTAATTAGGCGTAGCTATAATTGTGAATTGCCCCTTTTTACTTCCCGCTCGCTCGCGTCCTTCAAACTTCCTTTTTTTTTTAAAACATTTTCTTCCTCTTATATTCTTCTTCTTCTTATTCTTTCAATCCCCAATTCAAAAATCAAACGTCTCTCTTTCAGCTTTCAAAACCCTAGACTACATTCCTCTCCATTGATCGACTTTCTCTCTCGTTTTTCGCGATTGCGTGCAATTCAAGTCTATTTCCGCACCTCCTAACAGTATGATTCGTGGTTTTCCTCTCACTTCTTTTTCAGATTATTACTCCAAACCCAAACTCCTCTAATCGCCGTTGATTCGTTTTCAATACTTTAGAGATTAAAGATCATTCCTTTTTCCGTATATAAGCATGTTTCTGGTAGATGCTGGTTCAAGAACGTTTTGGAAGTCGTTTAATTTTTTGTTTTCGTTATAGGAAACCTACAACATTTATTTTTATTTTTGAAAAAAATGGTGTTTGTTTGTTTGTTTGTTTTGCATAGAGATTTTGGATTCCAGTTCAAATCAATGGGTGCCCCGCGAAGGATTAGCCCGAGACTCCAGAACATTCCAGAAGAAAAAAGGCCTTATTATGGCCCTGACGGCAAAAGAACACACGGGAAGGAGGACGACTCCGTTGTTATCACTAAAAAGCCTAGATTAAACATCTCTAAAAAACCATGTTTGCCTAACATATCGAGGAAAAAATCGAGGATAAAAGATAAAGGAGATGAAACTGATCTTGTATCGGATGTAAATCCAAATGCCGGTGGAGAGACAAGGATCGTCGATGCAAAAGACGAAGAAAAATGGCCGATTATCAGCACTTCTAGGATGGATGAACAAGGAATCAACTACAGTAAAAGGGTGAAAGAGACATTGAGAATCTTCAATGGACATTACCTTCACTTCGTTAAGGTGATTTGATTATATCCACAAAGAGACATTTTCGTTTTGCAAATAAAATTGAAATGCCTTAAAAGTTCTTTTGTTGTTGAGAAATTGTTTTCATAGAAGTACTGATACATTAAAACACCAATGCCCAAAACAACTTTTTTCTTTTTTTTTTATGCGATGAGTAGATAATTTGGATATTCATTACTAGCTATGTCTTTTATCTACAGGGAAACTTTCTTGATTTTTATGGTTTAAGATTTGAAGCCATACTGACTACTAGCTGAACTTTCATTATAACTTTCAACTCATAATGTCTTTTGCTCTTGTGCAGATAGAAGAGGAGAGAAGCAAGGAGGCAAAGGTTATTTTGACCTTGATTTCTTTCCCCCACATTTTACATCTATTTCTCTCATATGAAATATCTAGTGGTTGCTGTATATGTTTGTTGGATTGTGATGATGTTGAACCTATGTTTTTGTTTGACAATTATATTTTGTTTTCCTCTCTCTCTCAACCTTGTTACACGAGTAATGATTTCAAAAAGTTTTTGGGTAAAAGCATAAACAAGATTTATTAACAATGAAAATTTTCCAACCTCTCTCTATATCCCCTCCAGCGGTTGGTGCGCCTTTAGGATGTCTTTGGTAACCAATTTTACGAGTACCAATGTTGGAGGTCCTGTAGAGAATTTTGAATCCCTCTCTCAATTCATTTCCTCCTTTAACCCCTTCTACCAAACAACCATAAGTCTTAAAATCAATCCACTAATCCTCCCACCCCTATCCCTCCTACCAAACAAGGCATTAGAAATTCTTCGTAACTTGTTGATCCTGTTAGTTGTTTCCTTTGAATGGAAAGTTTCACTGATTAATTATTTAATAACTAGGTTCCAGTGCTAAAATAAGAAATGACTAGGACATATGTGGTCGGATCATATCATGCATATGCACACGAAGTGGTATATGGAAGGCCCCTTTGTATTGGGATGAATCTTGCGAGTTTGTTTTGTATCTTAGGTGCTTGATTTGTATTCTCAAGTTTGGAAGTTGATGGTGGTAGTAGTTTCTTCATTGTGATTGTCATTTTGTATAAATAAAGTAGAAGGTACGGAGACAGTTGTTGACCTTTTCTTCAATATTTATGTTAGTTATGCAAATATTTGCAGAACCGGGCAGGTGACGACAACGTTAAGAAGCCTTCCAAGCGACCTGATTTGAAAGCAATGAAAAAGGCAAGATGCTAGATCTAGTGTAGTACTTAGACAGCATGTTATTTGGAAACTTTATGCCTTTTTTCATTCTCAGTTTCACACTTCTAAATAAAAAATTTTGATGCCCTTGGTTCTTATCCACGCCCTCCTTGGCATCCTATTTTTCTTCTATTGCAACATCATCTTTATGAAGTTCACCCAATATTTTCTTCTGATTTTGTCTGTTGAAAAGTTCAGATAGTAAACACTTATTTTTGACATGAGACTGCCCTCCCATAATTTCACTTTTTCCGTTGCATTTTTTATTATTGCTCTTCAGGTCTGTGGTGTTTACCACGAGTGTTCTGGTAGCTAATTTGATGCCTTTAATAACCAGTGAAAAAAATAAGTACTTACCTTTAAATGTTCATGGCAGATGTTGAAGGATGGGAAAGTTCTATACCCTGAAAAATGTTTTGGTCATCTACCGGGTTGGTGATTTATAGTTGTGTCATTTGAATTCATAAGCCAGAGCCCAGAAAGGAAGATTGTATTTCAAAATGACTTTCCCCACCCTTAGTTTCTTAATTTCTAATGATACAGGTATTAATGTGGGGGATCAATTTTTTTCTCGGACCGAGATGGTGGCTGTAGGAATTCATGGGCACTGGTTAGCTGGCATTTGTTTTATAGGAGAAAGTGAAGGCAAGGTACCGCGTACTGTATCTATGCATATTTGTCACAGATAATTACAGGAGAATTTATATTTCTATTGTCTCATTCTATTCGTGCACTTAATTTCACCGTGTAATGAATGATTGCGTGTTCAAAATTTATCTGTCAAAGTCAATACCAACACTAAACATCTCCTAAGGTTTTCTGTCTGCCGCTGTCTATTTGATAGTTGTGTTTAGATGGGATTCATAACATTATCAACCTTGTCAGCGGACAACAAAATGGAGCCAATTGTTGAAAGTGAGAACGCAGTTAACAGCAAATTATTAAACAAAAGAATCAAAATCGCTATATGGTGTCAAACATATAGTTAGTTCAAATTCCAGCATTGGACTGGGATTGGTTTTCATGATTTCTTATTAATTTGGCACTTTAGATAGTTGTCCTCTTGTGTTAGCTTTCTGAACTTAAGAGACTTAATCTGATCAGTATGCTGATCTTATGAACTCTGCAGAAGAAGTATAAAGACTCTGGCTATGTCTTTCCCGTTGGGGTAGCAATTGTGTTGTCTGGCCAATATGAAGATGACGTTGATAACTCCGACGAAATTGTATACACAGGTCAAGGTGGACATGACTTACTTGGCAATAAACGTCAAATTAAAGACCAAGTAATGAAACGTGGTAATTTGGCTCTTAAGGTGTGTCCAAGGAATTACGATCTTTTTATCTTGTAACTCCCTTTTGTTGTTTGAGATTCGTTTGTTTTGTGTAGTATGGAAAACACTACGTTTCTTAAAGTCCTAAATTCTTGTTTTGTTTTTTCCACTAATTCTCTCAGTTGTCCGTCTATTTATTCATTTGAGCTTTCCCGAATATTAGTTGTGACACAATGTAGCGTCTGGTGGTGTACTATGAGTTTGTGTGTGTGCGCGCGCGCGCTTCAATAAATTCATTTATTTTTATTTCTTTCAGATATATGGTCTTAAATATAGCCAGATATTGAGACAGACATAACTGCCAATTACCAAGTTGATATTTTTCCCTTTTTCTGCAGAATAACATGATTCAATCTTTACCCATCAGAGTAATTCGCGGAAATGATTGTCCGAATAGTATTACTAAAAGGCTTTACACATATGATGGTTTATACAAGGTCAGCCATTCCAATAAGTGTTTTTTGTTTTCCCTCTTTAATTTTATCTCTTGCAGTTAAAATTACGAGCACATTGTTCATGTAAAGTGTGAATGAGCTGCTGTTAAACCACTGAACTGATGTAATTCTTTACCATAACATAGATTTTCTGAATGATGATTGATATCCAAATGTAGAATTTTTGCATGAAAATAATACTTCTGAATGATAATTGATATTTAAGTGTAGAATTTTTCATTGTTGGATAGATAATAAAGGCAGTCAAGTAATTGAGTGGTGACTAAGAAAGAAGCAGGACATCCTGTTGATGATAATAACTACTGAAGTGGTGTGGTGAATAATTACGTCTGGTAGATTCTCTATAGAATCTAAAAATGGGAAATGGAAAAGGAAAAATTAAATTCTTAGGCTCCTAGCTTCTGACTAATGGAGACTTGTAATTAAACTTAGTTCTGCACAAGTCAATAAATACCAATGTTTTTTTTTTTTTGTTTTTGCCCTGTTTGGTACTGCTTGTTTTGATCGTTTACTTTGTTACTACTATGGTTCGATGATTCTACAAAGTGGCTAAAAGTGCTACATAATCTTTTTTTTTTTTCCTCCCCCCTTCTCCAGGTTGATGAATACTGGGCTGAGAGAGGAGTTTCTGGATTTACCGTTTTTAAGTACCGCTTAAAGCGACTTCCAGGACAACCTGAATTAGTCACAAATCAGGTCATCACTATTTATTTTCCTTGTTTATCTTAGCTTTTATGCCTACTTTGTTCAAGGGCCACAAAATTCAAACCAAAATCTCTGGAAGCAGTTTTTAGCTTGCTGGATTTAAATTCAAAAATTACTTTTGGGACCTCAATTTATGGATTAAACTTGACTTTATCCCTTCAAGAGCAACACGCATCTTCGCTAATATGGAGAAACTTGATGAAACTTTCAGGTTCAATTTGTTCGCGGGAAAGGCAGCCAAGCTCAGTCTGAAATACATGGGTATGAATATAGTAAATCGTGCTCATAAATGAGCTTTCTTTCTAGTACTTGACAAATTCATACACCTTAACGACTGTTTATCGTTTTCTAAGATTGATCTGCAAGGATATTAGTTATGGTCGAGAAACTTTACCTGTCCCTGCTACCAATATAGTTGATGATTCACCTGAAACGCCAGAAGGTGAGAGCTTACATATTTTCTTATATATTTCAAAATAGTTTCTCATAGTTTCTGTTTCTTTTTTATTGTTGGTTTACGTATATCCTTTTTACTTGTTCTATGTAGGCTTCACGTATATAAACTCTATTGAAGTTGCAAGTAATGTTAAAATCCCGCCTAGTGCTCGTGGATGCAATTGCAAAGACGAGTGCACTGATCCGAGAACCTGTGCTTGTGCTAAACGCAATCCATCCGACTTTCCATACGTGGCTCAAGATGGTGGCAGGTTAGATAAGCATTTAAATGAAAACTATAATGATAAAAACATCATTTCTTGCTTATTAATACCATCTTCAGTTCCAGTACAAATGCTAAAACTATATATGACACAAAAAGAAAAGTGTAAAAATGACCACACATAACGCTGTTTTAGACACTAGATTAACTTTTTCTCATAAAATTTTAAGTTTTGGAACTTGTACAAAGAAAATTTTAATTCTCAAAAATTGAGAAAATGACAAAGGGTAATGGATTAATAAATACGCAATCAAATGCAAAAAGGTGACTTATTATTATCAAGTAAAAAGGCAACTTATTATTATCAAGTAAAAAGGCAATCGAATGGCAGTGCATTAAAGAATAATTTTCTTAACTAAATGCCAAATTTTAGTATTGAAGTAGAACATTGGTATTGTATTGAAGATGCACTCAAAAGATAAATGCAGGATTTATAGATGCCGTGACAACATTCCCTTATGAGATGTGGTGACAACTTATGCCTTAGATTTTGTTCTTTCCAATTGCATTTTCCAAGTCCACCGGAATGCTCTCATTAACTTTTCCCTTGCAGACTAGTGGAGGCCATGGATGTTGTATTTGAATGTGGCCCAAACTGTGGCTGTGGACCTAAATGCGTAAATCGTACGTCTCAGAAGGGACTAAAATACCGTCTTGAGGTATTGTGAGTGCAAACCTTCAGGCATTTTGATATTGCATTTTTCCTGCTTCGGTAACTTTCTAATTTTCTTAACAGGTTTATAGGACTCCAGATAAAGGTTGGGCTGTTAGATCTTGGGACTATATTCCTTCTGGTGCGCCAGTATGTGAATACATCGGAGTTGTTAGGAGGACTGATGAAGTGGACAGTGATGCTGGCAATCCTTACATATTCGAGATTGATTGCTTGCAAACCATTAATGAGATAGGAGGACGAGAGGTATAGCTATCATCTTATGAAAACCTTTTTTAATAACATATCAAGCCGGTTATTCTATGAAATTAAACGGTGTTATATGAAACTTGTAAACCTTCTGCATAAAGTTTTAAGTGCCTTATATCATTTCACTGCAGAGGAGATGGAGGGATGTATCTCTTCCAAGTAGTAGTGGTATTAAAAGAGGAGGGAAGACATCCGAAAATGTACCCGAGTATTGCATCGATGCAGGTTCGAGGGGCAACGTTGCCAGATTCATTAATCACAGTTGTGAGCCCAACTTGTTTGTTCAGTGCGTTCTGAGCTCTCACCATGACATTAGACTTGCGCGAGTTGTGTTGTTTGCTGCAGATAACATAGTTCCTTTACAGGTGAGCTTCTTTTGGTTTACAAGTCTATAAAACTTGTTTCATATCTAAAGCCGATAATACCTTGAAATTTCTTTCTTTCTTGTTCAAAAATCATTTTCTTCAGTTATTAACATTGTTAGACTAATTAACAAAAAAAAAAAAAAATGGTGGTTTTTTGAATGTGTGGAGCAGGAGCTCACATATGACTATGGTTTTGAACTTGATAGCGTGGTTGGTCCAGATGGTAAGATTAAAAAGTTACCTTGCCACTGTGGTGCACCTGGCTGTCGAAAGTGGCTGCACTAGTACTAGAAGAAATACCCAAGTTTCTGCTTTATTATTATTTCTTTCTCTCTTTTTTTTTTTTGGCTCATTTTTGCCTCCCACTCCCACATTGTCATTGAAGAAACTTTAAAAATTCTTGGCCGTTCTTTTTGTGGTGATGAAATGGGAATCAGCTATACGCGCATGCAAATCATGTAAATTTTTATTTTCGATTATTATTTGTATTATTATACATATCATATTTATATGTTATGTGCTTGGGAGGCCTATGTTTACTGTTGCCAAACTTATTGAGCATTTAATGTTAAATTATTTTATATTTATGCTTATTGTGTCCCGTCCCACATTGTAGCAATTAGCTCCTTTCAATATTATTTGAGGATTATCTTTATATATATTTTTAATTCATTATTAAGATTACCATTTGTTGTTGGATTGATTACAAAAATTAGATTCTTAGCTAAATTAGGGACACAAAAAAAGAAGAAGAAAAAACTGAGTTTGGCAAAACATGCAATGGTTTTCTTCAATAAATTTGTTTAAATTTTTATTCATACTTGTTTTCTTCTAAATAAATGAACAATTATTTATGAATTCTCGCCAAACCTTTTTGTGTGCACCATTTGTGAAATACGTCCCATTTTTATTCTAAGAGAGGTGCCTGTTTTCCGATTAATATGATATAAAATAACAGTTTATTTTTCAAGGTCAATCGAGTAAACACTTTTATCTATTTCATTTTTTTTAAAATTTTTATTCTACTTATTTTAATTTTTTTGGATTTTTTTTCTGCCAAAAAATGGTTAGCCTTCATCTTAAAAAAAAAAAAAAGAAAAGAAAAAAAAAATAATCCGCTCATGATGTGCGTATGCGACTAATTCGATGCAAAAAATCATAATTTCCCTCATTAACGTTTATGTAGAAGAAATTGACTAAAATTTAAACTTCATTCTTAATTTAACCAACGTTACAACAAATTTTAAAGTTTAAAAAGTGAATTACTACGAATAAAATTTGAGGATTAATATGTTAAATTTGTAAAATTAAAGGGTATCTGTACAGAAAAGCCTTTAATTAATAAATAAAAAACAAAAGGCTGCAGTAGCATGCAATTACTTATAATGGCATAAATAATAAACCTTCGTAAAACTATGACAAATTATGTACTTTTTTTAACTACATAAATTTTAAGAAAAATGAGATAAATGCTTTTTTAAAGTGTATGAGTCTAAATTTTTACTTATTATTTTTTATTAATATTTTTTTAATTAAATCATTATATTAATAAAAAATAAACGATAATAATCAAGACCTATTCACTCATAAAGGTAAGCACAGTAAATCTTTCTAAATTTAATTTTTTTTCAAATGTCTTAGAGAACTCTTTATACTAAAGAAAGGGCAAATTTTAAAAATATCTATTGAAATGGAGTCCACATTAGTTCATATATTTTTATTTTTTATATTATAACTAATTAATGGGTAGAACTTTTTAAAAAGATTATTTAACCGGTTAGAATATCTAATTTTCTCGAAAACATAAAGGCCCAAACGACATCCAACTAAATTATAAAGGGCTAAACGACATCCAAATAGAAACAACCAGCAAATTAGAAAAAAAGTAAATAATAATAAAAAACCACAAAAAAATGACTGTAAAATCTCTAAGAGAGCTCTTTAAATTTTAACTAAATTCTAACTAAAATAACTTTTTAGTTAGAAAGTTATTTTAAATAACAGCTTTTTAGTGAAACCACACTCTCTACTTTAATTAAATATGTATTATTTTAATATTTTTTTGAGTTTAAAACATAAATAATTTTTTTAACTTTTAATTTATGTCAAAATAAAAAATAAAATAATAAAAAGAAAAAATAACTAACCACTTCTTGTTAACTATATTTAGTTAATAAAAAATACTTTAATTAAAATTTAGAGAGCTTGTTTGAAAATAATCTATGTAGCGCAAGGTAAGGTCAATGCTCCAACCAATTATATTTATTACCAATGGAGTTAAGATTAATAAATACAAGTAGTCTGTCTCCCACTATTTTCCTTAAAGCGTAGACTCAAAGGTCAAGTGGATGATTAAAGATTAGTAAAAAACGTGATTTATCCGTAAACATAAGAAAAACCCCATTTTAGCCCTAAGGTGGGATACCCTTTTGATGATGCTTAACTTTTTTTTTTTTTTTTTTTTTTTTTTGGCTCCTTGTCACGCTAGTAAATTTAAAATTGTTTTTTTTTCTTTTGCTGAAAAGTGAAAAGTTAAAAATTTGCTTTAAACGAGCCTTCAATTATTTAAGTTACGACTTATGGTAATTGTGCAAATGAAAGAATATCCTACTTATCTTGTCTAGATTTTTAGAATGTCTGCTCAAACATTTTAGGTCATTCATTCAACTTTAGTTTATGCAAATTGTGTCGCATTCTATGAAGTTTGTCCTTAGCCCTTTGACCATTACAAGAGTCAAAACAATTTAAAAAAAAAAAAAAAAAAGAAAACGACTAATATTATGTGCAAAGAAAAAAAAAAGGGTCATTTTACATGTAACACTGAATATTTTGTTTATAAGTTACCTTTGTAATGAAAGGCCAAGAACCGAAGGATATTGTTGCTGTGAACTCTTTCTTACTCAACCCTTCACCCTCAAGAAAGAATTGTGTTGGTTCATTTATGATAAAAATCTCACTAATTTGAAATTTATGGCCAGTTAAATATTATTTTATTTCCTCATGGGGGGGCCCACTAAAGATGTGCAATACAGCTTTGCATTTTAACAGGGGTCTGACCATTACCACATAATATTTAGATCCAGATATATAGCATCTGCTAAACCTTCATATAAATTGGTAATTTCACAAATTAGTATTTGGGAATAAGAAAATGAAAGGAAAACAGATGTTCTTATCAATTAAATTAAATTAAATATGACAAATGTCCATTATGTGTCTCATTACCACCTAATTCCGAATCTTATATTTGTACGACGATCATTGAGATTATCATGGAATCCTGATGGAGTTAGACGTTTTACCAAACTAAATACTGACTTTCTTTTTCTTATGGACCCTTAAAAAATAGATAAACAAATAAGTAGCAATTATGCATTTACTCTTATGCCATCTTAGTGCCTTAGCGGCCTATCTTGAGTGTGTGTTTGAGACGCTCTTTTCACAAGTCTTTCCCAAGTTTTATTAGGAGAGAAATAGAAAAATATGTCAAGATTTGAGATGAATTAAAATTAATAAGTTAATAGTTTACATAAGTTAATAAATAGGTCAAATTACTATTTTCGTCCATAACTTGTCTGGTTATAAACCATAATTTGACAAGTTATTATCCATAACTTATCTGATTATGAACCATAACTTGACAAGTTTGTCCATAACTTATCTGGTTATGAACCATAACTTGACAAATTATGGCCTATTAATTTCTATAACTAAAAAATGGTCTATATATTTTTTTTAAACTTTTCATATTGACCAATTTTCTACTATTTTCCTTTTATTATTATTATTATTATAAGATATTAGAAAATACACTCCTTGAACTATCTCCTGTCGTTTTCCTCTGGGGTTGTAATTTGCGATTATGAAGTTTTGAAAGAATAAAAATACAGATTAGGATTTTTCTAACTATTGAAGGCGGACCACCATATTTTAGGTTCAACAAAATATACAATATTTCTCTTAGTACATTTTTTATAAAAAATAAAATAAAATAGCGTCTCTAATAGACCGTTTTATCGGTATGACTAATTTTTTGACCTTTGAATATGATCAAAATCAAATCAAATTGAAAAAATATGCAGAATATGAAGTTTCTAATACAAATATAACGACTGAAAAATAAAAAACTACCAATAGTTTATTTATTCTGATCCTATAAGAGAAATTCTTAAAATATTCTTTCTTTTAAACAATATTTCTTGTAGTTTTATGATTCATGAAAATTATGGGGCGCGTTTGGAACTCGTTCCAAAATGATTTTATTTTTTTTGTATGAAAATGAAAATAAAAACGTCTTCAATCTCAGACAGAAATCATTTTTGAAAATGCGTTTAGTAGTTTTATCAAGAGATTGTTTTCAGTGTAAAAAAAAACTCATTAATGTCTCTATTTCTCTCTCTCTGCTCGAGAGAGGAGAAAACAGAAATAAAAAATGAAAAACAACTAAAAGTTGTTTTTCATTTCTCTCTCATTTTACACTAAACCAAAAAATCGTTTTCATTTCTGTTTTTTGTCTTTATTGTGCCAAACGACGTTTTCATTTTTTTTTCAAAAAATGTGAAAAATAAAAACCGGATCAATTCTAAACACGGCCATGAATGCACATGACATGCAACGGCGGAGGCAAGTGGGGGCACATGCCCCCACGAAAATTATGTATAAAATTTTTTTTAATATAATTTTTTAAAAATATTACTTTTATTTGTATTTTTTTTATTTTGCCCCCATGCAAGTTGAATTAAAAACCTCCTATTTGTCTTTTCTCTCTCCACTCTACTCTTCTTCTCATCTTCTCTCAACAAGCAATGTCTGCTTGAGGACTGCTGCTGGCCCACCACGCCCACTACTACTCAGGTTTGTTTTCTCTTCCTTTATTTATTATGTGCTTTGTGCCCACTTCCTTTACCGAAAAGTTCAAGAGTTTTCTCGATGAGGGCAATTGTAATATATTTGGTATATTAATGAGTTTATTGGTTGTTAGCTTTAGCACTGATTTTAGCTGTTGCTACTGCTACTATTGAGAGGGTATTTTCTGTTATGAATATTGTGAAGAATTGACTACGCAATCGAATAGGAGATCAATGGATGAATGACAGTTTGGTTGTATATATTGAAAAAAAATTGTTGATCATATTAATAATGAAGTTATTATGCAACACTTTCAAAATATGCAAACTTGATGAGGGTAATTGTAATATATTTTATAGTTATTGAGAAATACTATGGTAATATTTTTTATATTTACTGTTGTTCTATTTATTTATTGTAAAATATGCTTTATGTCCCATTGAAATTTTATTTTGGCTGCCACTGATGACATGTCAATAAATTTAATCATAGTTTCCAAAAATATATGGATCGAAAGGTCTGTTTCTGTTGATCTTCTCTGTCTTCAATGATGTGGGACAAATTGGCCATCATCACCATGTATTGCCAACTTCTCTAGTATGCTATATACCCAACATACCATAAACAACTAACGTTCTTTATAGCGTACGTATTAGGACAACAAAACTACATGGCATGATTGTGTTGTTTTGATTATATGGCGTTTGGTAAGAGGGAAAGAAAATAGAAAAGGATGAAGTGTATATAATGTAGGCAGAACAAAAATAAATAAAAGAAAAGACTTTTTTTTCTAGTTATGGTTGATATGAAATTCATTTTTCAGTCTTTTTGATTTTTTGAAGGATCAAAATTACAGTATTACCTAAAAGATTACAGGATTTTTAATTTTTCATCTAATTCATTCTCTCCTTTAACTAATTCATCTTAACAAATTTCAAACAACTAATCCTCTTACTTGTATCTCTCTCTAAATATTTCCACTTTTCTCTCCCACCAAACATGTGTGTGTGTGTGTGTGTTTTTTTTTTTTTAATACACATGTACATATACATATATTTTTTAGGATTAATTTACAAGTAATGCTAGACAATCTTACTATGTAAGTATTTACAGTCCAACTTTTATACTGGCCAATCATGTCTCAGTGATTTTTAAATGAAAATTTTATTTTATTTTTTATCAGTGACAGATATACCTTTTATTTTTCAAATAACGTAATCACGTAAACATAATTCAATCGTATCACCAAGAAAAATAACTCCTTAGTGTTTAAACTAAAACATTAAAATAAAAGTAAGGGCAGCGCAGATTAATAGATATCCCGGGAGCTCAAGGAGTTCTTGGACGTGTGCATGGGAATTTCGGATTGCCTGAAAGGATGTCAAAGTGTGAGGAGGAAAATTTTAAAAATAAAAAGTATATTGTTGCTATCATTATCATATAGTCCGTAATTATTGCTGCTATTGTAGGCTTAACAACAAGAAGTCAACAACAAAAATAAGCTGTTAGCTGCGGTATTCTTCTCTCATAATATCCGACTTACACACACACACACACATATATATATCATGTCGTATGAGAAAACTAAAATAAGGTTCACTCACCATAGAAATTCTTCTCTCTCTCTCTCTCTCTCTCTCTCTCTCTCTCTATATATATATATATCTGGTGATTGTGAATTCATTGTTCTCTTTGGGGTGGGGTAAATATGAAATATACATATACACTCAAACTTCCAAAGAGAATAATTATGTTAATGGTGATTGAATATATATATATATATATATATATATACACGAGCATAAAACTGAGAAAATAATAATAATAATAACAACTTTATTCTAGCTAATAAGCTAGGACACCAAAGGGTAATGGTGGGATTGCAAAAGGGGATAAACCTTGATGATACCCACAGAATCACAAGTGGAATGTGACCCGTCCTAACCCCAAATGGTCCTCAAACTCTTCTCATGACTCATGAGTTATGTGCTTCCAAAACCCATTTTGTAAGCTTTGGATTATGATTTTAAAATATATGATTATGTTCCTTGATTAAATCTTGGAGCAAATCTTTTAATTAAAGAGACAGAAAAAGAAGGAGGGTTAGGATGTTGATGTGTTGCTTGTAGGAAGGGTAGTGGTACTTACCCTTGTCAAAAAATTTGTCCAAACTCCCACAAGAGAAAAAAAGAAAAAAGAAAAAAGGAAAAAAAAAAGGTCGCTTTAATAATGGAGGGGCCATCCAATAAGCACAAGTATTAGCGATTAAGTAAAGATTAGGACAAATGATTCAAAGAGATAAGAGAGGTTGAGAAGGAAAGGAGAAGGAGAGGTGGAGGAAATTTTTACTTAGTGGTGGTAGGGTAGGATGCCCTTATCAACTAATTGAGGCCACTTTCCTATAATTGTAATTAGAAAATTAATTTTTCAACCGTTTCAAAAGTTCGATGATTTTTTTTTTAATCTTTTCCTTTTAAAACTGGGAAAAATATTTTGACTAAAAAACGCGTATCCAACTTGGTGAATTCTAAACAAGCCAAAAGGTAAAAAAGTAAAAAGAAGACTTTATATTAAATAAAAGAGAGAGAGGGAAAAAAGAAAAAAATGGAAGAGTATACTTAAGAGAAAAAGATGGCACCAAAAAACCGCGTTTAATACAAAATTATACATAAAGAAAATGACCCATACACAATGACAAAAAAAAAAAAAAAAAAAAAAAGACAAGAGGACAAAGTAGTAGTAGTAGTAGGAGGATGGGGTTGGAGATTCCCATCCCATGTCCAAAACAAGGACTTGAAAAACCATTGAATAGTAAAAACAACAAGAAATAACAATAATTAATATTTAAATACCAAAAAAAAAACTCCCATTGATTGCGATTTTAAAAGATATGACCCCCCTCTCAATTAAATATAGCAATTAAACCTTAATTCAATGGCTGTGTATTATAAAGATATGTTAATAAAGCATTAAAAGCTTAATAATTGTAAAAAAAGAGAACCCTCCCGCAAATCCCACCACATTAAACCACCCAAAAAACCCCACAAAACCTCTCTCCTTTTCCCCTCTCTCTCTCTCTCTCCTCTCTAATCTCTCTCTCTCTCTCTCTCTCTCTCTCTCTCTCTCTTTCTATCTATATCCTTACTAGCAAGAAGAAGATGAGCTAGACCCTCCAATTCCATCCTCCATCCTACAAACGGCGTAACGGACCACCATAACGCCGTTAATTCAACCCCATTCCAAAAACATCACCATTTCAGTCACGTGCGTCATAAAAAAAAACCCACTCATCTCATCTCTTCTCTTTAATTAATTAATAATTATTATTTATTTTTTAAAAAAAGTCTTTTATTTATTTATGGCTTTGGTGCAAGCGACGAGCATTCCCGCGAGCGCCAACACCGTTGACGGCGAGACTAACGGCGCTGTCACCGTTCTGCCTGTTCCGCCGTCAACAGACGGCGCCGGCGGAGACGACGGCAGCCGAGCCCCAAGGCTCCCCCGGTGGACTCGGCAAGAGATCCTCGTCCTCATACAGGGCAAGCGGGTCGCCGAGAGCAAGGTCCGGAGGATCCGAACAGCCGGAGGAGCCGCCTTCGGGTCGGGTCAGGCCGTCGAGCCCAAGTGGGCCTCCGTCTCCTCCTACTGCCGGATGCATGGCGTCAACCGTGGCCCTGTCCAGTGCCGGAAGCGGTGGAGCAACCTCGCCGGAGATTACAAGAAGATTAAGGAGTGGGAGTCGCTGAGGAAGAACGACCCCTCCGACTCCTTCTGGGCGATGAGGAACGATCTCCGGCGAGAGAGGAAGCTCCCTGGATTCTTCGACAAGGAGGTCTACGATATTCTCGATTCCGGCGCCAACCAGCCGGTGGCGTCGGGGGCGGAGGCGGAGACTCCGGTTCCGGTTCCGGCGGCGGAGGAGGAGGAGACGGGAGTTATGTTCGATAGCGGGAGGGGTGCGACGGCGGAGGACGGAATGTTCTCGGATTTCGAGCAGGAGGAGTCTGGTCGGAGCCCCGAGAAGGAGGCGCAGCCGCCTCCGGCAGTGGCCAAAGAGGTTGCTAGGGTTCCGGTGGGGATTCCTGCTACGCCGATTTCAGGTAATTCAACTAAAAGAGAAACCTTTTTGGCTCTTTCTTTCTTATGAGAAAAGAAAAATGAAAAATAAGTGAATTTGGATGATTTTTTTTTTTTTGAATAATTTTTCATGGTTGGAGCGAAGTGAAACTGCATTTTGGTCTTGGTTCATCGCAAACTTAGGTGATTCATTGGTATTGATTTTTTCTTTTAATGGGGATTCTCGCTTGTGTTCATTCGGCGGTGGAATCTTCACTTGAGAACTTGGCCGCTTCATTTCTTTTCATTTCTCTATTGAATATGTTATTAAGTTTTTTAGGTACAAATACAAATTATCATATGCATTAAATGGGTCTTACGGATGTAGTTAATTTGTGAAGATTTGTCTCCTAAGCAGTTTGATTAGTCTAATTAAGCTTGGTTTAACTGGGAAATTAGGGAAAAGCTTGGTTTACCTGGGAAATTTGGGAAAGATCAAACTTTTTTTTCCCCCCTGTAGAACTCTAATAGCCACATGGCTTGGTAGGATCATGTTTTTGGGGGATTTGATGACTGACAAGTGACAATGTCCTTCACTGATTTCCTAAAACTAATTATGAGTTTGTGACTGGATATTTTGGCGGACACGTTCTAGAACAAATCATAGCAATATTGTTAAATGATGAGATGAGATGGGGTATCATCATCTAGTAAAAAACTATTGACCACTTTGTGATTCTGTTCTTGCCTCTCTTTTTTTTTCTTTTTTTTTTGCCTGCCTTCTGGTCCTTTTTTTGTGGGCATCTCCCAGCTTGTCCTCTTTTAAATTTCTCACTCGTCCATTGATTTCTTTCTTGGGTATTATATATTCCTATCCACTTTGCTATTACATTTGAGTTGACCTTTCTAGAACTTAGAAAATGAATAGCATCCTTAAGTACAACTGATACTATGAGTGCAATTTTCAAGCTATTTAGTTTATAATGCGTTTTCACACTGGTGGTTGGGATAGACACTAATTGTTTTTCATTTATAAATCTCTTATGCGATTCCTTTTATTCAATCATGTTTCTGAATCCAACACATTTTGAGTTCTTAAGTTGGCAGAAAATTTCTCTTTGTGAAGTTATTTTAGGGCTTGGTATTGTTTTAGAAACTATGGTGTTTCTGCCAATCTAGATCTTCAGTTTCTTGGATACTGTTTTTGGATCAGCAGGTGCGGCGGCGGCAGAAAGCGAGAAACAACCGGCAACAAATCCCGACACAGGAGCCACCTCTCAAGAGGGAAGGAAGCGGAAACGATCCGCATTCGACGCAGACGAGGAAACCAGCTTACAGAATCAGTTGATAGATGTGTTAGAGAGGAATGGGAAGGCAATGGCTGCCCACCTAGAAGCTCAGAACACCCACTTCCAACTAGACAGGGAGCAGAGGAAAAGCCATTCTGATAGCTTAGTAGCTGTTATCAACAAGCTCGCAGATGCTTTGGTCAGAATCTCCGAGAAGTTGTAGTATAGATGATATCTCCTGAGGCAACTCACAAACTCTAGTGTACATAACACAAAAGTTTCTCTATTCCTCTCTCCGAGACCAGTAGATACTAGCGGTTCATTATCACAAAGACCACATTTCAGAGCGCCTTCATATCTCTCCTTCTTCCTCTTCTTCTTTCCTATATATATATATATATAATACATATTTTTTATTCTGTGGTGTATATGCCACCTTTTGTGGGCTGGCATATGACCATCATAGTGCCTATACACACATAACGATTTTTAGAAATTATTATAAAGGGGTTTACCACATTTCTTCTGCTTCTATTGTCGTATAATGTTATACGTAGATCTATATGGAAATTTCTTTGTATGTTTGCTCGATTGTAAAGGCTATTGATATATAGATGAGTTGCATGTCTTACTCTTACCCAATTATTCTTACTTTCTGATGTCGTATACATACAATCCTCGCTCTTCAAAGATATGTGCAACAGTAGAGGTGAAACTTTTGTTTTCCCCTATAAAACTATACATAATGTTTTTTCTTTAGCATCTGTAAGTGCTTTCTTTCATTTGTCAAACTTTTGTTAGAGGGCAGAGAGTGGAATGTGGGGGCTCTTGTTACTTATCCACTCTGTGCTACCAATTTCAGTTTGTTTGATTGTCATATAATCAATCCACTACAGATTTGAGATTTGCAATGGTAAAGCTATATGATGTCCTAAAGTAAAGATATTCTGAACCATTTATGCCGGCAAATTTGGAAATCTGGATTCTGTGTTTACCATTCTGAGCAAAATAATCTTTTTCTTATATAGATTTCCCTGCCCAATTTACTCCCAAGATTTCATGGTGTTTTTATCTCCATCCTGGGCAAACATATAAAGGATTTTAATATGTTTTCTTTCTACAAAGGAAATATAATAATGTTGATAATGTTGCATCATCATCCTCTTCTTTCTTTTCTTTGAAACCAGAAGAAGAAAGAAAGGTTTTTTCCGTAAATAAAAAAATTTCCGTCACAACAAAATATAAGACGGGGATCATGGCCACGGGGTCAATACGTAAATAAAGAGCATAAACAGCTATAAACTTGTGTATTCATGGCATAGACAAAATATGTACACTGAACACCGCACTTTAAAAATAAAAATAAAAAGAGCTTTGATTAAGGCCTCAAAAAGTTATCACGTGCAGGACCCAGTAATTTTAATTTTTGCCATGTGAGTATATGACAATATTACAGTGCTGCCCGGGTGTTGTGATGTATTACCAATAATGATGAATAACACAACTCTTCTTGCACACTTGTCTCATGAGCCCAACTTCACAAAGCTATGCTTAAAAGGATATGTAAGCCCCACAACTTGACTGCTGAGGGATTTGGGGGACAAATTCTAACATTCATCAGCATTGTTGCCTTTCTCACCTAAGTATCAGAGTCATAGGAATTCGCCATTGTTCTATACCTCCGACCTGGTTTTTGGAACCCAGTATTCGCTGCCGCCTTTGTTTCGGGCTCATCGTCCTCAACGCCACTAGTTTCAACTTCAACCTCTCCGGCTGCAATGCCAACTGCGAAGCCTTCTGGGTGCAAGGACTTTCGTCCCTCACTTTCCTTGTTCTGCTCCACCTCATGGCCCTCATTTACCACTTTAGCATCACTAGCCTTTTTCTTCGGAATAAAGGTCACAGACTTTGGAAGCCCATTAGAAAATTCATTCTGGATATTCTTCACCTCATTAAGAAAGTCTCCACAAGCTCGAGCGTTAGAGAATTCGTCAACTTCAGTTGTCGACTCCAGACTATAACATGTGTACTTGGAGGGATTTACCAAATAGTCTGGCAATCCAGAAGCCTTAAAAACTACCTCATTGGGAGATGTTTCTTCACCGTCATTTTTACACTCAACGTCGAATCTGACTCGCTTTTGAGGCTTAAAAACCTTAAAAACTGACTCATTGTCTTTCCTTTTCAATATAGGCTTTGGCCGAGCTTCATCTTTGGATCCTTTTGCATCTGCAGGTTCCTTTATTTCCGCAAAGTTCTGAGCTTCAGCTTTGTCTTTAGATCCTTTCGCATCTGCAGGTTCCTTTATTTCCGCAAACTTCTGAGCTTCTGCTTCATCTTCTTTCAGCCTATGCTTTGCAGCTAGGTGATTGGCACGCGGGTCCTTTTTGTTTCCAAGCACATTGTCGGAATTTAAAAAAGACCCCTTTTCAGTAACATCACTCATATACAGGCGATCCCCGGCATTTTCTCTTCCCGAAGCCACTTTGTCAAACTCATCTTCCTCTTCCTGAAATTCAAGCAAATTTAATCATTAATGGAGACAACGACACTAGTCAAACCAAGCTTGTTTCTAGATTCTAAGTAATAATAGCAGAATGTCGTTCTGTCCAACCAAAAGTGTTTGGTTCTATGCACGTTGTAGAACAAGCCACAGCTCCACAACCATGGGAATATTTCCCAATACTCAGATATATATATATATATATATATATATATATATATAATATTGCATTACAGAATTACGAAAAGCTCCAAGGCAATTACTTTAATTTATCTCAGCTCAAAAATAGATTGATACGCGACAATCTTCACCTCAAAACTCAAATTCAACACTAATTGTCACTAGCAGGTATAATATTCCCAATCTTAATAAGAAAAAGAAGAGGCAAAAACCAATTCAGGCAGTATATTATCTCCCAAAACAATTACTGCAATTTAGCTATAAATAATTTATAAAGGTCTCCAAAACAAATGTCTTGTCATGGATTATCTAAGCAAATCGTTCAGTTTAAAATGAAATTACAAAAAAAGAGGAAAAAAATCACCTCGTAATCGAGAGTGCGATCCATGCCAATGAAGGATCGGATTCCCCATTCATCTTGAGCAGCGCCGTTCTCATCGCGTTCGGCGCCGATTCTCTCACGATCCTCGTCCAGATCTTCATCGAAATCTCTCCGCCGCGGGAGTCTCCAATCCTTCTTCAAGAACTCGTCGAAGGACGAAGAACACGGCGTTTCGTCTCTGCCGGAAGTGTCCGCGCACCGCCTCCATTCCCTGCGCTCGACCTCGCCGTCGGAGATCGACCAGAGAGAAGAAGATGAACAAGAAGGAGACCGCACCGACGGAGACCGAGAAGCAGCGAGCGATCCGAACACCTTTTCCACTCTCGCTTTGAAGCTCTCGTCCATGGCGGATTTTTTATTCTGCTCCTATGCTGGTTACTTTACTAGTTTTTGTGATTGTGAGACACCGCCATTGTGGGGATTATTTTTTAATTCTCTCTCTTTGAGGGTGGTTGTGGTAATTTAAAATTTGGGCCGACAGTTTGGGCTAGACTTTGGTGGGATTTTGTCCATGATGAAGATAACGGGCTGACACCGAAAAAATTGGAAATGCACCACATTCTATTCACTTTAAAAAAAAAAAAAAAAAAAAAAAAAAAAAAAAAAAAAAAAAAAAATTGCATGATCTTATTAGTCTGTTGAGATATAAAAAATAAAATAAAATATTTTATAAATAAAAAAATTATAATTACAATAATGATTATAGCGTAATTATATGCCATAAAACGTGACAATCATTACACTAATTGCTAGTGTAAAAGAGTTAAAAGAAATAATTGAAACAAAAGTAGATGATGAGAGATGGGGAAAATTGTGGCCTCGGATGCTATAAGAGACGGACGGAGGCAGTGATACAGCTTTTGAAAGATTGAGAGGTGGAGGCTGTTTTGTCTCGTAAGAAATTGGCAAAAAAATGCAGAGACAACATGGTCAGAAACTCTTCCTTCCCGTCAACCTTGAAACAGACCTAGGCTGGGCCTAGTTCCTGGTAAAGTGACCAAAAACACACCTTCATATTATCATTGGTACTATGAACTTTCCTTCATTTGTTCATGTTTCGCTTTGTTACATGGCATTACCCAAAAAAAAAATAATAAATAAAAAATAAAAAAAAACCTAGCTGCCCATAATCCATGAGTTTAATAATGATATGCCTTTTTTTTAATAGATAAACATTGTTATGTTGAGTCTATATTCATTTTTAAATGTCATTGAATTATATTAGAGTATACGTGTGATCCTCCAACTTGAAAAAAATTTGATGGTATAAAATAATGCATTTATCGTTAAGTGTTTTATCAGAAAATTCTCTCAGCATGTGTTGGGCAAAGATTGCGGCTAGTGACGGTGCCAAAAGCACATTTGAAATACAGCCTAGGTCTTATGGGGGTCCTGATTAAGCGGGAATTAACAAGTTTCTAAGTTGAAAAGAAACTCTTTTGATCACAATAGAGAATAAAAAAGCAACACCCATGTTTCACTTTACTTGCTTCTTATTGTGTGCTGTCCTTTTCTGTCGGTTCTTTAGCTTCCCTTTGCTGTTTTTTTTTTTCCCTATCTTTCCTTTTGGATGAATTTTTCTAATTAGGGATTATGCATATGTATTTAACTTTTTAAGGCTGCATCTTTAGGTCTTGGTTGTCAAATTAATGCATTGCACATGATCCACCCCCTTTACCAATGCTTCGCAAAATGTATATGTCATTGCCCGTTCATGCTTGCTACTTGCTATAAACCTATGTAAATGAGATCATCACATGATAAGATGTTAAAAAAAAAAAAAAATTTGATTCCTACTCTATTGTGTGATGATTAAAAATTGATACTCTATTATGTGATAATTTTATTTATGATTTAGAGTTTTTTACAATAATATTATAAAAAATAAAACAAGACATTATAAAAATAAAATTATCTATTAAGATTTAACGGTTCAAAATACGATCCTACCGATAATAATTTTTCATAATTTATACCTTTCAATAGGATTGTCTATCTTTTTTTTTTCCCTTTACATTGCAAAAGATAGACGTGTACGGCTTTTAATCTTTTTATGACATTTGTAGGGCAATGTAAAATAATATATGGCCTCTGTTATGATGAAAGAGAAGCACGGTGACACATAAAACACACCGTTATAATTAATTTGGTCAGTACCATACAACTTATTTGAACCTCCTGCCCACTGTACTATAAAAGATTCCCATTCATCATTTCATATCGTACATGGAATAATATAAAAATTTGTCTAATAAGCACTTTTATTATTATGTTAATTAACAAAACACAACAATATTTGAGTAATTTCGAAATTGTCGTTGATAAACACAGGCCAAATATTTTTTTTTTGGGAGATGTAACTAGGGCTAAAGACACATTTTTTTCCCCGCGAAAAAGTAAAGGACTCACTTGCATTTTTGTAGAAAGAAACAGAAAAAGAAGCTCAAATGGTCAAAAAGCAAGCAACATTAGGCCATAGTTGGCATCATAAAGTTTCAATCTTTGTCCCTCTTTTTTTTTTTTTTTTTTTTTTTTTTTTTTTTTTTTTTTGGTTGAAGCAAAAAAAACACACTTTCCGTCTGATCCAGCCAAAACCATCTTAATCCTCTTTCTTTTTGTCCATTTACAATCCCTCCGTTTAACTTCCATGTCTTTCCTGTGTTGAAGAACATGAAAAATAAGTTTGAACTAAAGTTGAGCGATTGCTTGTTCACATCAAAGATGATAAATCATTTTAATACAATTTTTTTTACCAGAAATAAAATCTCCTACATAGGTTTTCCTTTTTTATTTTTTTTGACAATTATTATTTGTGGATTGATCTTTGATTTCTAAAAAAAATTTACATAAAGAGTCTTGACCTCAAATATCAACTATATCTATCAATATATTTAAATGAAACAATTAAGAGGTAAAACTGTGCATCAATTTCCGGTGCCGAAAAATTCAACATGCACACTTAAACATCGAGCACAGACAAAATTGTTTCATCAAGTCTACTACAGTTAATGGAAGATAAAAAAACTTATAGCACTAAGACCACCTACAACATTACATAAAAAACAAATCTAACGAATTAAATGCACCACCTACGTTAAGATGTTGGAAGACGACTCTTGTTATTATTACAACTTATCAAATATCAAAATTTAAAGTGCACATAGATATCTTTTAAAGATCATATCCAATGAAACAATAGGGAAAAATTTGTAATTTTTTATTATTAAAATAGTAACAATATAATTATTGGTAAGAAATATTCTATACATTAACTAATAAGTAATTAAACGTCAAAACTTATCCAATATCAAAATTTGAAGTGGACATAGAGTATGGTTTTTTTTATGATTAGAGATGCTCTTATAGCTATCTCCATTTTTTTTCCCCCCCCCCCCCCCCAACTTTTAAGTGGGAAACAGAAAATAAAGCGCGACAAGGAGTGATGTTTCCCAACAACAATGGCAAGTTGGCAGCCTCCTCCTCATATACACATCCATTAACAAGAAATTGTTGAAACCCACAAAAAAGGATTAGACCAAAATTTGTTGTAATAAATAAAAAAGAAAAGGACATTGTGAAAGTTGTTATTAAATTGGTTTTTTTAAAATTAAATTAGCGGGTGGGGGGCATCACAGAGTGTATTTGTAAGCTATAAACCTCTAGTGTTGCTTGAGCACTAATTAATCAAGAATAATGGTCCTTTCATTAGCCACAAAAATAATAAAGTGAAAAAAAAATCAAGAATAATGATCAAGCAAAAACCATTTTATTTTGATTTCTGCGATATTTTTTTGACATCCTTTTACTGTACCAATACTGGTGGTCCAAGCAACTATTCTCTTACGGATATTATCAAAAACTATTCTCTTACGGATCTGTCTATTTTTCATTTTAAAGACCACCCTCTCCACCTGTACAGCTTTCTTCAGCCTTTACAGGTCCCACCACAAAATATTTTTTATTTTTATTTTTTGTAATTGAAAAATACAATATTAATAGAAAAATACTAATTGGTAATATAATAGGTGTTAATAAAATACTCAATTAGTAAATATGTAATTTCAAATACATAAGCAACAATATATATAATAGAACTTTACAAATTAACAGAATGAAATAAAATAATTTAAAAGCATATAGCACTGCAACTAACAGGTTTGTATTGTGATTGCAAGGAATAATGTAGCAATAAATTCACATTTCTCTTTTTATTTTTCTAATGTTGAGGTTTGAATTTGAAACCCTCTACTTCCTTAGAACAAACCAAGAAAAAAATAATAATAAGAAAGAAAGAAAACTAAGGGGTCTACTACATAAATAATTCTCATTATTTATGTCTCGTTCAGTTCGTAAATTTGAGTTGAGATGTGATTTTATGTGAGAGCTTTTCACTGTAGTAAAAAAGTTAGATGTGACTTTTTGTGAGAGTTTTTAACTGTAACAAAATTAGAATTAAAAACTCAAATTAGTGAAATGAATGAGACCTTAATATTTCTACAATTTCTTAAAAAAAGAAAAAGATCTCACTTACTTTATCGTATCTTTTGGGTGCGTTTAGAATTGGTTTCAAAATGATTTTGTTTTCAATAAAATGTAAAAATGAGATTGTTTTGAGAATTATTTTAGAACCGATTCTAAAATTGTGTTTGATTGATTTTTTAAGAAATTATTTTAAGTATAATAAAAAAAAAATATCGTGTTTATTAATTAACATATTATAATATTATTAATAAATATTAAAGAATAAAAATAGGAAAGTGAAAACAACTTTTCATTATTTTTTAATTCCTTTACAAAAACTATTTTTATTATTTTCATTTTCAAAATATTTATTAAATAAGTGTTGTTTCATTTTTTTTATTTTTTATTTCTTAATATACGTGAAAATTGTTTTTAAAAACAGTTTCAAACAAACACTTTTATTTTTCATTTTCTCCATTAAGAAATTATTTATTTATTTATTGCAAGTAAAAAAATAATTTATTTATTTATTGATTGAATTTTTGTTTCTTTTGGGAAAAAGAATGATGTCTAATTTGTTATTTTTAGGAAAATAATAGAAAATAAGTCAATATTAAAAGCTTTAGAAAGTCTATAGGTTAATTTTTAGTTATAAAAATTAATATGTCATAACTTGTCAAGTTATGATTCATAACCAGATAAATTATGAACAAACTTATCAAGTTATGATTCATAACAAGACAAGTTATAGACAAAAATCATGAATTATGAATAATAACTTATCAAGTTATAGTTCATAACTATATAAATTATGAATAAAAATAATAATTTAACTTATATAAACTATTAACCTATTAATTCTAATTTATCTCAAATCTTAACTTATTTTCCTCTTTCTTCGTTATTTTTAAGATACACAGAGCAATGCGAAAGGGGAGTGTGTCGGGGAAGAAAATGGAGGGAAATATAAGTTGGCCCACCACATGAAGTGCTGGGCCCGCTTGACAGAAGCATCTATCTCAGATTCAACACTAACCCCACGCTCCTCAACCTGCACGCCAACGCGCGTTACAGCTAGACGACTCCACTCAGCCGCTAGATCTAACGAGATTCACATCTTAAGAGCTCGAATTCTTTTTTATTTTTATTTTTATCTCCTTATTAAAATCATATCACAGTAGTTAGCTATTATGATTTTTTAAACGTTATGAAATGAAATTTTTATTAACATATTATGATATTATTAAAGAGATATGAAAAATGATTCAGATAAGAAGACGGAAAAGGTCGAATCCAATGTGACTAGTTGCAAGTTATCACCAATTTTGTTGATCAAAATATTCTTTTTCCTTTTATCTTTTTAAAGAGAACATAGTAATATGGATTTTTTTTCTCTCTGAGATTGATAACAAAGGCGTCTTGATGCGTAAAACACGCTTATGGAAGCGCGTGGGAAATAAATTTGGCTACCTTATAAGCCTGAAAAGGCCAAGACTGTCAGGGACTCAGAGTGAACTCATCTCCGTTACTAGACGGACTCTCCCTTCTCTCTCATTTCCATTCGCATCTCCCGCAAATAAAGCAAAACCCCAAAACCAACCCAATATAGCAAACAAGGAAAAAAAAAAAAAAAAAAAAAGAGGCAAAAGGATCTGTTATTTTGCTTTTATCTATGCAGTAAGTATTATTGCTTGATTGAGGATTGTGTCTGTCTTGTATCCGAGTCTTAACACATGGGTTTTAATTTATTTATGGTTTTTTATGAGGTTAATGGACAAGTGAAATGAAATGAAAAAGGCTTTAATCAAAAATCCCACACACAAACACAAAACACACTCTCAATTCCCAAGGCAAACGCTCAAACTTCCTCCTTTTCCCTTTACGGTCCTTCTAGGGTTTTGAATTCGAAGGCATTTGATTTTACACACACCGAAAAAAAAAAAAAAGAGAGAGAGAAATTCTACAACCGAGAAGAAGAAGAAGAGGAAGAAGAACCAAAAAAAAGAAAAAAAAAAAAGAATCAAACGACCTTCGTTCTGGAGAAGCTCACCGCAGCACCAAGCTCTGTCATCAATGTCGTAGTTTGGTTTCCTTTTTCGGAGGTCCTTTTTCTATTATTTGTCATTTTTTTAATTTTTCATTTTCGAGTTCGATGATGGCGATGGAGATCGGAGTGGAGTGAAGAAAGATCTTATGCTTCTGATTAGTTTTGATGAAGAAAGAATAATACTAATAATCGCACTCGGCGAAGATCAAATCAAAGCCCTTTGGCCTTTGCTTGCTCTAATGGTGTTAATATTTATAATTAAATTGTTTGATTCTGTTTTGGGAAGTTGAAAGAAAGGAGGAGGACGATAAATATCGCCACTCTCCAACATGCATTTCGCCAAGCTCGATGACTCTCCCATGTTCCGCAAGCAGGTTCTCTCTCCTCTCCTTCTTTTGTGCTTTTTATTTTTTCGCCTCGTGATTTTCAGTGTCCTGTTTGGTTGCCGAGGAAATTTCTGATTTTTCTAGCTTGTTATCGGAGGTTAGGGTAGCATTTTTTTTTTATTCTTTTAGTTTTTCTTGAATTTTCTCTCGATTAATGGATTATTGCTGTGACTTTGCTGGCTTTGTCTAAATGTTACGGAATTTAGCCGTGCTAACCTAGAATCATGACCTTCTACATCCTGTGAACTACTCAAATATTCAATTTTTCTTATGCATTTGATCGCATTTCCTAATTATGTGATTTTAGGTGTAGTAAGCGCTAAGATTTTGGGCTTCTCCATGTGCTGATCGAATGCAAATTAGAAAGAATTGGTTTTGATTTAGAATTTTGTAGTTTGCTTGGATTTCGTTGCACAACAACTGTCACATTTTTACCATAACTTTGGAATTTTATTTTGGGTTAATTTACGTAGTCATTTTGCTGAGTCGTCAATTTCTCATTATAATTCATTTTTTAGTTTGATCGCTAAATTAGAGTTGTAACTGAACCTAAATATGCAAGAATTGAAATTGCTAAAGAGAATTTGTTAGAAAAGGTTCTATGGACTAGAGATGCATTGTGAATTTTTGTTGATAGATGTTACATTTCTGTTTTTACATGGCAGTGTAGTAATGGTACTTGCTACTTTGATTGGTTATGGACTTCGCCAAGCTAATCTCAGTGACTTATGCCTTCTTTGTTAAACAGATGCAATGCTTGGAGGAAAGCGCCGAATCGTTGAGGGAAAGAAGTTTGAAATTTTACAAAGGATGCCGAAAGTACACGTATGTGGACGCATATCTATAATGTGAAATATGTTATCCTTAATAATGAACTTAAACTCTATTGCCACTTCATGAACATTTCATTTGATAGCATGTCAATCAGTCTTTTTAGAAGTTTTGAATATTGAAAGCTTCTAAACCTTGCACAAATTTACATATCATGCTATGAAATGGCTTCGTGCCTTTCTTTGGTCTTCTGTTGAATTTAAACTTTGTTCTGCTTGACATTAAATATATGAAGGTTTAATCATGTTCTTTTTTTTTTTTGCTCTCAGTGAAGGACTTGGGGAGGGATATGATGGGGACATAGCATTTGCAAGTGCTCTAGAAGCTTTTGGTGGAGGGCATAATGATCCTATTAGCGTGGCTTTTGGAGGTATGTTGATTTCTTAGCATTGCTTTGTGGTGGTTAAACATAAATCTATTAATGTTGTTGTTAGCTTAAATCCTGTAGGATGTCCTAGAGAGTCCTAGTTATTTGAATACTTTAATTTAAAAGTTTTGATTATTTAATTGCAACATGTATTTAGCCAAAGGACGGAGAAAGGAGTGGAATATGCTTCTCATCAGATAGTCTCTCATACGTGAAAGTAGGTAGACTATGGATTTATGCTTTAACTTCTATCTGTTTATAGGTCCGGTTATGACGAAATTTACTATTGCGTTGAGAGAAATTGGAACATACAAGGAAGTTCTTCGGTCCCAGGTAATTGTTATGATATACTTTTACACTAATCTCTTACTCATGGGATGTGGAACAAGTGCATCATTATTTGTGGATAATGAGAAGTTTGACAGTGTCTGACATGTTTCCTTTTTCCACTCAGGTTGAGCATATGCTTAATGACAGATTACTACAATTTGTAAATATAGATTTGCATGAGGTCAAGGTATAGTTGGTTTTTTCCTTCTCTGTCACATTTATATTACGTGCGTATTATACGTCCCTGTAGGTTGGCTATGTAACGTTAGATTTATATTTAAATCTGGGCATATCTATGGTGTTATTCTTTCATGGATAGTTCATTTACTGCTGTCATGTGTAGGTTGTCAAATGTGACAGTACGGTCAAAGACAAAATTTGCATAGTTATTGGATAACTGTTGTCAGATTTGTTTTATTTTCGGTTTTAACTTATTTTTATTTTATTTTTTAGCTGTTAACTGTAAACTTCTTCATTTAATGTTTGTGTCTCCATTTTTCATTTAACAGTTTGTCTTCATGCAGGAAGCTAGGAAGCGTTTCGATAAGGCTAGCCTTATATATGACCAGGTCTATCCTCAGTTCTTAATGTATCTTGGTACTGTAATTGATGCCAATTGGCATGCAATTACATAATGTTTTCTCACGTTTAATGTTCTTGAAAAAGAATCCAAACTTTGTCTCTAGTATGCCTAAAGGAGTAGCAGCTTTTCTCTTTATCTTGTAAACAAGCATAAGGTCTGACTAATTTAGGCTTGCATAGAGATGTGTTGGTGGTGTTGTTGAATTTGAATTTAATTGGAACCTGTACGAACTTTACAAGTCAGTTGTTGAGGTTAAACAATTTGTTTTGGACCAAAAATCTGGTGATAACATTTGTGAAACTTGAGGTAGGGGTCTCATGCATATGTGACGTTGGCAATAATTCATAGATGCAGTCACTTTTTTTTAATTGGACTATTTTCTTATCTTTTTGTGCATAAAAGCCTATGAAGTTATGTTGATCTAAACTTTTGGACCTTGCTTTTCAGAGCTATAAATCTGTTTGAAAATATAATGAACCAAAACTCAGATTTATTTGACTAATGCTTATGGTGCTGTGGCAGGCCCGTGAAAAATATCTCTCACTGAGGAAAAGCACAAGAACTGATGTAGCCACTGTTTTGGAGGAGGTATTGCACTTATAATTCTCGGGTTTAAATTTTGATGTTCTTGTGCCATAAGAGCATCTCCAATGCAGTGACAACTTTTGCTAAACTTTGGCATTTGGATAGGAAAACTACTCAGCAATGCATTGCTATTTTTTGTGCTAAATTTGGCATATTCCATTCTTAGTGCCAATTTATTTGCAGTTTGCACCCGGGGTCCAAGGTTCGAATCCCGGAAACGGCCTCTCCTTCGGGGGGGTAAGGCCGCGTACATATGGGATTGAGCTTTCCCCCGAGCCTGGCATAGTACGGGAGCCTCTTTGGCACTGGGGTCCGCCTTTTTTTTTTTATAGCATATGCCAAATTTTGGCAGTTGGTTGCTACTGGTTGATGTTGTGTTAGACTTTTTTATTTAATAATTACAACATTGTCATTTTTAAATTATTTAAAAATTTTGAAGTTTACTTAAAAAATTTGAAGTTTACTTCTACAAGTTAATAAGTATAGCATTATGCATTTGGTTTACAAAATAGAACAACATATCAAATATGCGATTTGGCATTTCACAATTTTGTGTGCCAATATAGCATTTGCATTGTCATTGGAGATTGTCTAAGTAGTGAATTTTGACATCTGTGGAAATTCTCCTTTCCATGCTTTCTAATATAGTTTTGAGATCTTCTAGGAACTTCATAATGCAAGGGCTACATTTGAGCAAGCTCGTTTTAGTCTGGTAAGTGTGTTTCTTAGTTCAGATGAGCTATAAGAGTCGGTTTTTCGTTGCAATGAGAAATTTGTTTCTAGAAATTCTCGCTGCACTCATTGGCCTTGTAACGTTGATCATTTCCTTCCAGGTGACCGCTCTTTCTAATGTAGAAGCAAAAAAGAGGTTTGAATTTCTGGAAGCAGTCAGTGGGACAATGGATGCACATCTGCGCTACTTCAAACAGGTGAATTTGATGGCAGTTATTCTGTGTCTTAGTCACACGTTTAATCACAATTGTGTTAATATTGAACAATTGTGAAACTGTGTAGGGCTACGAGTTATTGCATCAAATGGAGCCATATATTAACCAGGTATGAACAAGAAACATTGTCCCTATGTACACATATTTCTATGCATACTAGAAATATATTGGAATTATTGTTTGCCATGATTTGTTTGATTTCATAACTTCTTGACGCAGAATGTGGGACATGATTGGTCTAGAATTTTTCGTGCTTAATCTTTTCCATTATGTCACTCAAATGCTGATTCTTTATTATTTTACAGGTATTAACTTATGCGCAACAATCGAGAGAAAGGTCCAATTATGAGCAGGCGGCTCTTAATGAGAAGATGCAAGAGTACAAACGGCAGGTTGATCGAGAGAGTAGGTGGTCTTCCAACGGCTCTAATGGATCTCCTAATGGAGATGGTAGACAAGCCATTGGCAGGAGTTCTCATAAAATGATAGAGGCAGTTATGCAATCTGCTGCAAAGGGAAAGGTTAAATCAAAAGACTTCTATGAACAATTTTGCCCCTAATGCACTTTTATCTTGTAACGTCTTCTGAACTATCTGCATGTAACACCTTAACAAAACAATATCAGGTTCAAACTATTCGGCAAGGTTATCTCTCGAAACGTTCCTCAAATTTGAGGGGTGACTGGAAAAGAAGATTTTTTGTTCTTGATAGCCGAGGAATGCTCTATTACTATCGGAAGCAATGCAGCAAACCATCTGTATGTAAAATGTTTGAAAATATTTATGATACTGGAGCAAGACTATTGAAAGCTTGTTCTTAACTTGCTTTGGTCTTGCATTTGTGTATGCTTGTAGGCATCTGGAAGTCAACTTTCTGGTCAGAGGAACAGTTCTGAGCTTGGTTCTGGACTGCTAAGTCGATGGCTTTCTTCTCATTATCATGGTGGAGTTCATGATGAGAAATCTGTTGCTCATCACACTGTTAACCTGCTAACCTCGACGATCAAAGTTGATGCTGATCAGTCTGATCTGAGATTTTGCTTCAGGATCATTTCACCAACAAAGAACTACACTTTGCAGGTTGGCTCAGGAATAGTTTGCTGCGCTTGAACTTCTTTTAATTCAAGGATTATTTATTATTTCTGAGACCTTTTTTGGGCAATTCTTTCAAGAGGATGGTTTATTAGTAGAATTTGGTGATTTTCTGTCAATGTTACTTATTTGTGCTTGTTGGTGCAGGCAGAGAGCGCACTTGATCAAATGGACTGGATTGAAAAGATTACAGGAGTCATTGCTTCATTACTGAGTTCCCAAGCTCCTGAGAGGGTAATTATCTAGAGGTGTTGCACAGTATATAGCCACTGATTTTTGTAGTAACTTGTGTGATTTGTGTTCCTTTTTATTTCAGTGCCTGCCTGCCAGTCCCATGGGAAGCAGTCATCATCGTTCTACCAGTGAGAGTAGTTCATTTGAAAGTTCTGACTTTGATCACGCTGCAGTTGAAGATCTTACATTGGAAAAGAATGCTTCACATCTTGAGCGCCCATTGAGAAGTTCTCAACAGCAAAGGTCCTGCATTAAAAGTGAGAAGCCACTCGATGTCTTACGAAGAGTAATCGGGAATGACAAGTGTGCTGACTGTGGTGCCCCTGAGCCAGATTGGGCATCATTAAATCTTGGTGTTCTTGTTTGCATTGAATGCTCTGGTGTTCATCGTAATCTTGGTGTACATATATCGAAGGTAGATTTTGATTTTGACTACTCATCTCATTTTTACATATTTACAGTCTCCAACTAATCAACCTGGAACTCTTGAGCAAAGCCGTGTTGCATTGACAAGTGACAACTAAATCTATATCCTCGTAACCATAATGAACGTCACAGGAGGCATGAAGGATCTGCAAGATAGGTTGCACTGAGTGGTGTAAGATAATCAAAAGAAACTATCTGATTTGCTGCTATATTTTGCCTCTCAATCTGTTTTCTTAACTGAGAAACTCTTCCATCAGTACAATGGTGGAACTATGTATCACCATATTTGTAATTACATTATCCAGATGTATGACTTTTACTTGGTGAGCTTATTATATCCTCGTGCACAAGTGATTCTTGATCTTGCTGATACCAAACAAAGCCGTAGTGTTGTGATTGGTCATTCTTTTTTTTGCGGTTGAGTGAATATACTATTTGATGATGATATTTGTATAGCTACCTTGTTTAGCAGACCCTTCTTCCTTTGGTGACTTACTTTTCTTTTGCAGGTAAGGTCTCTCACACTGGATGTTAAGGTGTGGGAGCCCTCTGTTATAAGTTTGTTTCAGTCTCTGGGTAATACCTTTGCCAACTCTGTCTGGGAGGAATTATTGCAGTCAAGAAGTGCTTTCCAGGTTGATCTTGTCTCGACAGGGTAAAGAACCCCATTTATGATTGAAATAGGTTTTCCCAAGTTACATATAGTTGTTGTTTACTGAATGGCTAACATTTTATCTTTCTTTTACTGGTGAAGCTCGTACAAATCTGACAAAGCACAACTGTCTTTTATCAGCAAACCAAGTCATGCTGATTCTATATCGGTGAAGGAGAAGTTTATTCATGCAAAGGTGCGTAAGGTCTTTTATCTTAACTTTTGCTTGAAGATAAACTGATATAGAGAAGGCCATAGTAAACCAAGCACATGCTGGTTTACGATAGAAGGAAAAGGAATAAGAATGATCAAGATGCATTTTGCCACGAGTGCTGTTTAGCATCTCCATTTGTACAACAAACTGATTCCTTGATACTTGTAATTGGTTACAACTTACAATTTTCGGATGCCTGGTTGAAATGTGTGTAAAACGTGTAGTTCTTCCATTGCAGTATGCAGAAAAGCTGTTTGTTCGCAAGCCAAAAGACAGGCAATATCCTCATCTGGTGGCGCAACAGATTTGGGAGGCCGTTCATGGTAATGACAAGAAGGCTGTGTACCGTCACATTGTGAATTCTGAACCAGATGTGAATGCTGTTTATAAGCAAGCATCTTGTGGCTCTTCCTTAACTCTGGCCAAAGTAATGCTATTGCATGAGCAGCCAAGCATTGAGCACAGTGCTAGCTGCTTGACAGGAGGGGATTCATTGGACAGGTCTTCTACTAGCTCCTTAAACTTGGGTTGTTCAAGTGAAGGCCAGACCATGGAAGATCTAGACGGATGCACTCTGCTTCATCTCGCTTGTGAAACTGCAGACATTGGCATGCTTGAACTCCTCCTACAATATGGTGCCTATATAAATGCTACTGATTCCAGAGGTCAAACACCACTCCACCGTTGCGTTCTCAGAGGCAAATCAGCATTTATAAAATTGCTTCTTGCAAGGTAACTTAACGATCTGGCTCTATCACAATGTTCTTTTAGTGTTTTTTTTTTGGATAAATTATCGTATCCTTTATATGTTACTGATATTACCCATTACACCTGCAGGGGAGCTGATCCACGAGCTGTGGATGGCGTAGGCAAAACTCCATTTGAGGTTGCAGTAGAGTCGAACTTTGATGATGCTGAGGTCCTTTCTCTACTGTCAAACTCCAACGTATGAGAAACTCCCACAAGGAATCACTGAAGGGGCCAACTACTCAAAAGCTGGAAGATATTGAGAAAAAGAACAGAAATGTAAGAGAGAAAAAAGAGAAAAAAGAAAATACAAAGGTATTGCATTTGTATAATTATATTTCATAATTTGAGAGCTATTCTCCCGTTAAAAAAGATGTCACCATAAAATGTTTTGCGGGTTTTAGAGGAGAGTGGTCGGTTGGCTTGCCTGCCCCATGGGGGCATCTGTGCAAAAAAAAAAAAAAAAAAAAGGTTCCCCAGAGTTGTAATTTATAATTTATCATTAATTTGGTTCCATTTAATCCTCCGACGAGAGTCAGTCAAGTCAAGAGCATCTCACGTGGCGCTTAGCCAAAGAGGGCTGGTTGATATGTTTTGCTATAATGTTTATTCAGTTTGTCTGCTTCCTTTTATGGTGAAGCTGTGAGGATCTAGTTTTTAGGTCATTGTGTATTTTGTACATTATTTTCTTTCTAGTGGAGCTTTGTTGTGGCTGTAACTTTGTTATATCCTTCGAATTTTCTTACCATTTTTATGCCAACTTCCAAGCTTTGATATCCAGGTGATGCATCTTTACATATGTTAGAAAACGAATACTATGACATGGAAAAAATAAATAAGTCATGTTATGAAAACTAAGAAAATGCAAAATTAAGAAGAAAAATTTTAGAGACGGGGAGTTTTATTGATCTTGTGAAGGTATATGAAAATGAAGAGCTTTGGAGCTTTATTTATAGGAAATTTTTGACACTAGTCACAGTTACAATTTGTATAGTATTCGATATTTACGATTATTATTTGCACAGTAAAATTTTGACATGAACATTAATTTTGACTGACTTGCACAGTAATTTTGACTGAGGTGGACAATTACTATTCACAAATTCCTCCTTAGATGTCTATCATTCATAATGTCTCATTAAAAACCTTGTTAGGAAAAACCTAGTGGGATAAAAACCATAGGAAAGGAAAAAAGAGTACAACATTTATCTATACGTGTTTATGTTGTCTTGTTAAAAATCTTATTAGGAAAACTTAATGGGATAAAACCATAAGGGAAAAAGAGTACAACCACGTAACTCCCCCTCGAGTTGACATGTATAGGTCTTCTTCATAAATCTCGCAGATGACACCTCCCGATATTGTGGATATGCTTTCTAAATGTTGTAGTGAGAAGTGCCTTTGTGAAAAGATTTGATGCATTGTGACTTGATCGAGTGTATTGAATATCAATATTCTTATTCTTTTCAAGATCTTGGGAGTATGAGAAGAACTTCAGGGGTATATGTTTCGTTATGTCACTTTTCACGTAACATTCTTTTATTTGAGCGACACATGCTGCATTGTCTTCAAATAATACTATTGGATCTTTATTGATAGATAGTCTGCAAGTTTTTTGAATATGTTGAGTCATAGACCTGAGCCATACACACTCTTGACTTGCTTCATGGAGTACAATAACTTGTGAACAATGTCAAATATTGTTGTTACAAGGTAATGTGAGATGCATGAAAAGTGGAGTAGGTTTTTTCTAGCATTTCACCATCTGTGATATTTACTCCACAATTTTAATTGCAAAAAAATTCTAAACATGGCAGAGTTGTAGTTGTTGGCTTTCTTAAAATCCTAAAAAGGTAAATTGTTCCACTCATCACGAGTGGCGAGAAGTACGACTTCTTTCTGGTGGTCGTATCTCTCCTTCAGACTTTTCTAAAGGACAAGTGGATACTTAATCGTGAGATATTTGCATTTCAAGCCTTCATTAAGATGTTTACGAAAGAAAATTATTACTTTCGCCTTTTCTTGTGGTGACTTATTATTATTTTCTTTAATGGTATCGGTTAGTCCTATTGGCTCTAGATGCATTTCTACATCTATGATCCAAGACATATAATTCTTTCTTGTGATGTCAAGTGCAACGAACTCAAGTTTGGCAAGATTCGACACGGTGATAATTATAATAAAACATCGATGTAATAAGAATGACAATAGTATTATTACAATAAAGAGTGCAATTAAAATTACATGTTAATCATAACAGTAATAAATAAAAGGAGAAATATTACAAGTATGAATATTGCAAGGAAAACTGAAAATCGTGTGTAAATAATCTCCAATAAAAAGAGCAAAAATATAGAAAATGACTACTAAAATAACAAACACCGTCATCATCATATTCGCCATATCGTGAAGATTATATTAAGAATAGTAAAGAGAAGATGAGAAGTGAAAGATAAAAATAATAAGAAGGGGGAAGAGAAGATGATAAGTGAATTGTATGGGTTAAGAAAAACTACTTTTTATAGAGTAAAAATATCTATTTATAGCCGTTAATAATGGTGTAAAAATACGTTATATTACTGTTAGAAGTGGAAGAAAAATTACAATTGTATACCTCAAATGATGTAGAAAAATAAACAGATAAGAATAGTAATATGCATGTAGAAAGTGCAATGAGAAATTATTACCTGCAAGCGGCATAGCAGTCTATATATGAGAATTATACAAACACCCCAAACTACTCGGTAAACCTTTCGAATGGTGTATAACGACAATTATAAAAATTATAATATGTTAGTAGCATAGTCATCCTTTGTATGAATATGAAATAATAGAGTATATTTACATACCTTTCACTTGAATTAATAAGCGCAGAAACTTGTAGTAGGACTAGGGCTAAGACTTACTTTCTTTTGACTTTAAGGTAGATACTTGTAATTGGGTCAGTGCCTCCTTTCTTTGAATTAATGAATGTAGACAATCACAGTAGAAATAATACGTTCATGCTGATTATGTGTTATGAAAACTAAGAAGAAAAGCTTTAGAGAGAGAAACCAGAGAGAGTTTATTAATCTTGTGAAAGTATACAAAATGAAGAGTCTTATAGCTCTATTTATAGAAAAAAATTTGGTACTATTCATAATTACTATTTATACAATACTTACTATTTACGGTTACTATTTGCATAATAAGATTCTAATATAAATAGTAACTTTGACTGACTTGCATAATAATTTTGACTGAGGTTAAGAGCTACTATTCATAACAAGTCAGTATTTGTATTGTAGTTTAATGTTTTGTTTGATGCAATAATAGCGTAGACAACAATGACAAATAGTATTTTTCCTTTCTTATTTGAAGCTCAAAAAAATTGATGTTGTTTATTGTATAATGAGAAAGAGACGGTGTTTGGTAGTGGATGGAACCACTTGTTCCACCGGTGACAGTGGTGGCAGAGTGTCGAAAGGCGATCAAGCAGAGCTTGTTCACTAATCATCTAGAGTTGACATTGTTCACAAGTAAATTGATATTATACCTCTTATTGACTTGTCAAATATGACTTGGACTTATGTAACTTAACACTCTTTAGATACTAGTTAAAAAATCATGGGTCAAATTTGTTCCATATATGATTTCAATAGATTACTTAATTATAATTGGGTTAGAGATGTAATCATATTTATGTATATAATATGTATATATTTGTATTTTCAGGTAACAACATGGTTTGGTAGCTGCGAAACAAATTCGCCCATATCCCGTCTAGGCTATAGTTTCTTAGTTTGGTACCTACAAAGGGCAGCCATGATTGTAAGTAGCCGCTTCCTAAATTCTACTGTAGACAGTCTTAGGGTTCGTTTGTTCATGCGTTCAAACCTTCAGTTTTGATTATGTTACAACGTTTTCTTCTCATAAAAAATTTAAATTTTAAAAGTCAGAATCAAGAAAAACTGGTTTGAACGTACGAACCAAACAACTCCTTGGTTGTATAATAATATACTCGACCAACATAAACTGTTGATTGATACTCACAAATGAAACAATAAAAAATGGTGGTTTTAACACTAGTGCCTTAACACGATTACAAATAATCCATCCTAGTTGGATGTCCATAAACTTGTGAGAATTCTCTGCAACAAATTTTTTGGGACCTTTTCTGGTACGTCAATATACCGGTAGGCCACGTTTTCTGTTCGTCAAATCTGTATAAAATCACGTAAAAATAAAAAAGGACGCAGATCTAACGGTTAAAAAAATCTGACCTAGGGTATGCATAGAACCTCCTTTTTTTTATATAAATATTCTATTTTACTACTGCATTAATCTAAAAAGAAAGAGCGATTATTTGATTATTACCAATATTATTTTTTTCTCATAAAGAAAGATGAAAGTAATAAATAGGTTTTTAGCACAATCGTCTTCCAAATTTATCGTGATTTAATAAATTGTCACTTAAACTTTTAATTTTGAATGTCAAACTCTCAAATTGACAAAATTATTGCAGTGTACCTCATTTTACTAAAGTTATTTAGATTTTTTTGTTAGATTTATGGAATTAAAGGTTGATGAATTAAAAGATTTGTGTTACATTTGAATTTAAATCTTAGAATTTTTTTATCGAACGTGCTTTTTCAACACTAATTTAACACAATCATCGTCAAAATGAATCATATTGTAATGATTTTATAAGTTAAAGGGCCAATTTACTAAAATTAAAAGATTAATGGACAAGTTGCTAAAATCGTATATTTTAGGGAATAAATGTACACAAAAAAACCTAACTAAATCAACAAAAAAAAACTTTAGTGCGTGTTTGAAACTGTTTTTAAAAATGATTTTCACGTATTTTGAGAAGTAAAAAATGAAAACAAAATGAGATTTGTTTAGCAAATATTTTGAAAACGAAAACAGTGAGAATAGTTTTTGTGAAGGAATTAGAAAACAGTTAAAAGTTGTTTTCACTTTTATGTTTTCATTTTTTAGTACTTATCAATAATATTATAATATATTAATTAATAAACACGATTTCAATTTTTATTATATTCAAAATAATTTCTTAAATAACCAACCAAACGTAATTTTAGAATCGGCCCTAAAATAATTCTCAAAATAATCTCATTTTTACTTTTTATTGAAAACAAAGGGCTTGTTTGTTTACACTCAAACTCAAAAAAAGTTTGAACTCAAGTTACAACTTGATTCAAGTTCATGTTCTTTTGTAAAATTTGAGTTTGAACTTGAGTTTGAGGTTAAAATCTGAGATCAAGTTTATCTTTCAACTCAAGTTCCTAAACTCAAACTCAAGTTAATGAACATTATTTTTTTTTCTATTCTTAAAAACGCTATAATTTTTTCGTTTTAATTCCGATTGAAATGGTTCTTTTTTTATGTGTTCACAACAAAGAGACGAATAAAACCCCACTCATATATTCTATTAAAATTTTTCATCATCATTGAATTTTTATTAAAATATTATCTAAATACAAACTCAAATTTTGACCCACCCAAACACAAACTCAAAAAGATTCTCATCTCAAATTATAATTCAAATGTACACAATTAAACACAAATTTAAGTTATAATTTTAACTCAAATTATAACTCAAATTTAATTAACAATCTAGCAAGACACTGCCATTTCTTCTACAAAATAATGGGCTTGTTCTTTTGAGTGAAAAACTCAAAAAAAAGTAACTCGAGTTACAACTTTATTCGAGTTCATGTTCTTTTAAGTTTAAACTCGAGTTTATGACTAAAATTCAAGCTCAAGTTTTCCCTTCAACTCGAGTTCAGAAACTCGAACTCAAATTAATGAACAATATTTTTTCTATTCTTAAAAATGCTATAACTTTTTCGTTTTAATTCTGATTGAGATGATTTTTTTTTCTATGCATTGACAACGAAAAGACGAATAAAACCCGACCCATATACCCTATTAAAATTTTTCATTAGCAGTGAGTTTTTATTAAAATACTATCTAAATACAAATTTAAGTTTTGACTCACTCAAACACAAATTTAAAAAGATTTTTATCTCAAACCATAATTAAAATGTACACAACCAAACACAAACTCAAGTTACAAGTTTAACTCAAATTTAACTTAAGAATTATACTCAAATTAAACTCTAAAAGAACAAGCCCATTGTATCGCAAAAATAGGAAGAAAAAAAAACCCCATATAAGCACAAATTCCCGTGGTTCCCTCTGAACGGTAAAGATCTGAGTAGTAAGACAACGGACGGCAGAGATGTGATTGGTGATGTACAAAGTTGGACGCTTTCCGTTTTGGACGCTCGTGATGTAGACACGAGGGGGAGGGGTGGGTCTATTGCCGACGTGGCAGTGGACCCCACCTGGCCCTGAAAGGCGGGAAGCCCCAGTTTTGTCATTTGAGGAATCCGAAAGGAAGAGTGTATGTGTTTGTGAGAGAGACAGAGAGAAAGACGGAGGGGAGAGAGAGAGAGACAAGAAAAAAGCAAAAAGAAAAAAAAACAGAGAGGAAAGCTTGAAACAAAGAAACTGGCGAGGCAAAGAAAGTCTTGTTGTGAAGCCGAGAGAGAGAGATTTCAACAACAAGGGTAAAAAACTACTACTGCTACTACTACTAGTACTTGGACTAGTAATAGAGTTGTTGTTGATTTTCTGAAGAAAACGATTCTGCTTCCTTGTTTGTTATATAGATTAGTGACTGAAAGTCTCCGACTTTAGCTCTCGTGGGTTTTTTTTTTTTTTTTTTCAATTATCACTTGTTCTTCTCCTTCTTTGGGTCCTCTCTCTTTCTCTCTCTTAAAAAAGTAGGATTTTGTTAACACGTCTTTGTTACCACCTAATCCTATTATTATTATTTTCTTTCTCTCTTTACTTTTTTTTTTTTTGGCGAAAGAATTCCTCTGCGTATTATTATAGTGCAGGGAACAGTGCCACTTTTTTTTGGCTTCATTTTTTCGTTTAAGAGTTTAGCGTGTGAAGGGTGTCTGATATTCTTCGTGAGGAATCAGGACACAGGGATGAGAATCGGTTCCTTTGCGTCTTTCTTCTGAAGTTTTTCCATTCTAAATTCTCCCACTTCTCTCTCTTCGATTTTTTATACTTCTTCTTCAATGGGCTTTCTCAGAATTTCCCCGCAATTTTCGGAGCATTTTAGAACTGGGGTTGATTAAAATCAAAACCCCTCCAAAAAAAAAAAAAGCTTCTACCTTTCTTTTTTTTTTTTTTTTTCTTTTTTTTCTTTTTGTTTAGCTCCTTGTTTGGTTTATGGTAAAGAAGGCCAACATTTTCAAGAGCTTCCATAGCTGCTTGAAAGCTCCAAAAACAGCATTTGATATTGTGGGTTTTGGCTCAGCCACTGAACTTTTCACTCTCTTATTTCACAAGAGTTTATTTAAACGAAAGCCCTCCAAAAGAAGCTTCAAGCTTTTCAACTACTTGAGGCTCTCCTTGTCTGGTTTTATGTTGAACAAAAAAGGGCCAATCTTTCCAAGAGTTTCCGCAGCTTAAACCTCTCAGAAAAACACTTTCTGCTATGTGGGTGTGGTTTGGTTCAACCACTCAACTTTTCTTCTCTCTCTCTCTACCACTATTGGACTACTAGTTTTTTATCCTTGGGGAGATTTTTCTCAACTCTGCGTCTCTTTCTTTCTTCCATGGATAACCAAAAACCCACTTCAAATATCTTCCCTCTCCTTCTATTTCTCCTCACACTTCTCCTTCACAATCCAACTTCACTATCCCAAGAGACCAATAGTACTAGTACTACCAATACAACCACCACCAAAATCCCCTCTAAATCTTCATCAACAATTGGTCTCAAGAGAATCACCTTAAGTATAGTTTTAGGAATTTTCACAGGACTAATGGGCTCACTCCTCTTTGCTCTCTTAGTCCGCTGCTTCGTCCGGTACATAAACCGAACCCCAATCCTCAAAGGCCCTGTCATTTTCTCCCCGAAAATCGACCCCAAGACGCTCCAATCCGCTCTCCAATCCGAAAACCAGTTACTAGGATCAAGCCCCTCTGGAAAGTACTACAAGACTGCTCTAGACAATGGCCTTATCATTGCGGTCAAGAGGCTCGAACCCTTTTCCGAAAATGGCGAGAAGTCGATCAAGAGACGGATTCAGCAGGGGCTGGAGCTCCTTGCCACTCTGAGAGATAGGAACTTGATGAGTTTGCGAGCTTATGTTCGCGAACACGATAGGTTCTCTTTGGTTTATGATTACATGCCTAGTGGCAGCTTAGATGATGCCATGAATAGAGTTAGGGAGAATCAGTTGCAGCTTGGTTGGGAAATTAGGCTTCGGATTGCGGTCGGAGTGATTAAGGGGCTTCAGTATCTCCATTCATTTGTCCCTCAGATCCTGCATTGCAACTTGAAGCCCACGAATGTCGTGTTGGACCCGCAGTTTGAGCCGCGGTTGGTGGATTGCGCTCTTGCTAAGCTCGCTCCCCATGTCCATCGCCCGACTACGGGTTATAGTGCTCCAGAGTGTTTTCAAAATGGCAGGTGCTTATAAGTTATCTATTACAATCGCTTTGATGATGAGTTTAGTATTGTAGCTTATCATGAATCAATTTCCTTGATGTTAGAATATATGTGCAGAATTCGCTCTTGGTCCATTGGTTTTCTTCAAGTCGGCCCTTTTGCTCACTGTAGCATTGATTTATTTTATTTTTTAAAAGGAAAATTTTGAAATGAATCTCTATGAGAGTTGTGAGTAACTCATCCTTTCTTTGAGATTTATTTAGTTGCCTCATGGAATTCTGCAAGGCTGTTGATTTATTAGTTTGTGTTCTTAATTTAATATTTCAAGATATCTGTTTGAAGGAGTTGTGTTTAAGATAACTCAAACCGCATAATGTTAACGGGATGTGATAGTAATAAGGAAATCCAGGAAACTAACGATTAAAAGGACCTCATATCCTGTTCATGGACAACTGAGAAATGCCATTGAAATGCAAGAAAAACGAGATATTGCCCGTTTGTTTTTTAAGACTTCATTGATCAGTGAAGAAGTTTTTGTGTGAAGATATTGCCGGATTGAAGGGCTTATAGTTTTGTTATTATATATGTTGCAGGTACACTGATAAAAGTGACATATTCAGCTTTGGGATGATCTTGGCTGTTCTATTAACGGGTAGAGACCCAACTGAACCGTTCTTCGGGGAAGCATCTAGTGGTGGAAGTTTGGGGCAGTGGCTGCGCCACTTGCAGCAAGCCGGGGAGGCTCGGGAAGCTTTAGATAAGAGCATTGTAGGGGAAGAAGGTGAAGAAGATGAGATGCTGATGGCAGTGAGAATTGCTGTTGTATGCCTATCAGATGTGCCTGCTGAGAGGCCCTCCAGTGATGAACTTGTTCATATGCTAACCCAACTGCACAGTTTTTAGAGGACAAAATGTAAGTATTAAAAAAAGAAACGGAAAGAAACCCCTTGTTTTGTAGATTTTGGGTTTAGACTTGGTGGTAGATTTTGTTTGCTTTCAGGGTTTCTGTTCTTGTGACAGTTGCAATCCCTTGAGTCGAGTTGGTATTGGCTAAGACAAGAAATGATAAGCTATTTAGTCGCACATTACACATCGCATGAGAAAGATTCATAGGTTTGTATTTGGTTTTAGAAAAATATTGGTGTGTACATGACTAGACTAATGGTGTAAGTGAGAGGAAGAGGAATCTGGAAGTCAGATTTTTGTAACCCCAGAATAGGAGTTGTTATCTGATCTGATTAATTTACTACACAGGAGACATATGCATTATTGTGTTTTTCATCCTCTAATGATGGTGGGGTTTTGTTGGCTGTCTTTTTCTGGACAATACTTTTTTCAAATCACGGGTCCTTTTACCTTAAAAAAACATTTTGACACGTCTTTGTATGCAATTGAAAAAAAAAAAAAAATTAAAATGGTGTGTTTGCATGATCTTTTGATATCTAAAGTATAAAGTGGTCCTTTTATATTTGGAAGTTTTTTTTAGTAGGATTAAAAAAAATAAACTATAAATAGGTTTCTACTTTCAGTTATTATATTTGTATTAAAAATTGTATGTTATGTATATCTTTTTAATTTAATGTGATTTTAAGCCGATTTAATAGTCCGAAATTAAGCTCTATGAGGAGGGAGGTCTATAGGAGAAACTCCCTTTGTATTATGCTTTTTATTTTTGTTTCGTTGATCTGTCATGAGCCAACCAGTCAACTGAAAAGTGGGCCTTGCTTACAAAACAAATAAGCTCTACAAGGATCCCATTTCCATATGGTTCCTCACGTTGTGAGTTGTGACTTTATTGAGTAAGCACATTTTCTGCTTGCCTTTCCCCTAGTTGAGTTGAGTTAAAAAATTCCCCTAGTATATATTTACACTAATACTATATTTTGTTATGTATTTTTGCACGAAATAAAAAAATGTAACTAACGGCAAAATAGTCATTTGGTATCGTAGATTCTCCAACCTTTTCTTCTTTTTCTTCTTTCTACTAAACATCCTAATATTCCCCTTTGTTTTGCAACATTTTCTCCAATTTCTTCTCACTCATTTTCACTTTACCAAACATAATATAGATGACAAAGCTTATGGTCCCTTTCTTGTCTAAGTTATTTTTTCATTAGCTAGTAAGAATGTGAAGAATGCAGAGCTCACCTTTTATTATTATTATTATTATTATTATTATTCTTTTGTCAGTGATTTGAAAGGATTGGTTGTTAACAACCCTAATTATGACGCTCATAATTTTCAATTAAGTGCCTTTTTTCTTATCACTTTGTTGGTGTAATGACCTTGATTACCTTGATTCTGTTCTGGAAGATGGGGGAAAAGGTTGGTTTGTGTTAATCTAGTTCGTCTTTTCAGAAAGTGTGTCCTCATGCAGTGTACAATTGCCTTGGAAGCATGAAAAGATTGTGGTAGATATTTATTTCATTTTTTTATTTTTTATTTTTACAAAAAAAAAAAGAGAAAAAAAAGAAAAAGAAAGGCAGGTGGGGATGTTGAGGGAACTCAAAGAGTGAGAACCATACAATATACATGTGTGGCCAAACCAGAGATGGCATATCACAAAAAGCCTGTGTCAAAACTCAAAAGTATGATTAGGATGAACAATTAATTCTCCTTTATGCCCTTCCATTCCAGCTGTCAATGCAAGCTTCATAATTACATTTGCACCATATATATATATATATATATATTATAATACTATAATATAAGGATCAAATTAAACAGTCCGAGGATGTCTTATACTATATACTTTATTTATTGCTAAGAAATTCCGGAGGCTGTTGCTTGTGTTGTCGTGTTGTGCTATATTTTAAGTACCATCTACTGTCGGCATGCTAAGATCGGTAAAATATGTAAATATAAATATGATTATGAATATGAACATGATTATTTACCCTCAGAATGGGTTTGTTTCATTTTCTTACTGGAGTAAATTATATATATATATATATATATATATTATGAAGAAAAAAAAGAATTTATTAAAAAAAAAATCTTGCTTTTCAACTTTCATAGCGTTTGTTTATTTAATTTTTTGTATTCGAACTTTAAACCTCAAATTAAAGGTAAATACGGAATTTTTTTTTTTTTTGCTAATCAAGGTAAATACGGAATTAATGCTAAAATTTAGCACTTTTCTGCTCCACTCCATTGAAACTCAAGTATAAGATAAAAGATATTAAATATTTAGGTGTATTTTTCGTTGTCTAAAACTATAATCTATAATGAAAGAAAACGGACCAATAAGAAAAAAAAAAAAAAAACGCCTAATTTGATTTGGACACTATTGTTTTCCTTCTCTCCAAAATTAACAAAAACAAGTTGGGATATAAACAGTGTCTATTCAAGTTCAACAATGACGACGACGCTAAAGATAAACAAAGTAGTTTTCAGAATAGTACTTGACCCACAACACAATTGTTGTTGTGTGTTTTTGTCACCACATGAGCTAATTGCAGTGAAGTCCATTACAGAAGCAAAGGATGGTCACAGACATTTCTATAACCCTTAAGCCCCCTTCACCACCACATTTTTTAAGTCAAACAGAAATCCAAAAGCCTTATCCTATTTCCTTGTCACAAAAAAAAATATCTTTGCACCACCTTATCCATCCAAGTCTCTAGCATACAAACTGCCCAAGTGCCTAAAAGTTTTAAAGTTTAAATCTCAATACCATCTCTATTCTCCATTAGACATAGGCACATAGCACATCTCATCTGAGGAAACCAACCAACCAAGCCATCAAAATGCAGGCCGCTCTCAACCTTCCGACGCTACCTCCGATCCGCCTTATCACGCCCGCCAAATCCCAGGGCTTCCCGTGTTGTTGGAGCTCTATTCCTAAGCTCCAATCCTCCAGGACTCCCCAACTCAAGGTCACGGTTGCTTCAAATGATAGTCCAACGGTTGATTACAGCTCAGTGACTTCGTAAGACCAATTCTCGGAATTGATCTTTTCCTTTTTTGGATTATTGTTTTTCGTCAGATCTTGAGGATCTAGTTTCGTTATAGCAGGAAAGGAAACTATACACTGCCTTTTTATTGAACCTTGAGTTTTTTTGTTGGTACCAATATTGCAGTGTTTTTCCGGCGGAGGCTTGTGAGACAATTGGAGGAGACACTTGTGATGCCAAAATGTATCCTGAAGTGAAGCTCACACCACAGCCCAAGAACACAGCTTCCACAGATTCGTCGGAGCCTGCTGACAGAGAATATCTAGAGTACAACGGTCCCAAGACGTAAGATCTCATCAATCCCAACTTCAACTTGACACTTCTTTCTTATTACTAACAACAAAAGGACTAGTTATGGATATAAGGTTATTGATGATTGGGTTGCAACAGGGTGTTCCCAGGGGAGGCTTGTGATGATCTTGGAGGAGAATTCTGCGAGCCCGAGTATCAGACAGGAGTTTACTGAAATACCATCCTAATCTTAATCAAGTTTTAGTCCTTGTATCTATTTCTTGCTCTTAGTTTTGTTGATGCTGGACTTTGGTTTTGTGAATATTCACTAAATAATTTGTATGTCAAAAACTTGATCATATTATGAATAAAAGTTCAGACTAGTCAGCAGCTAAGAAGCTAAAACTAGTAGAAACAAGCCAAAGCTGAACTGAATTTACAAAATATCACATAGCTATATCTAAAGGACATGTACATCAGACAGCACAAGAATTTTAACAAGATCAGAAATCACAATTGTACGATAGAATTGAGAAAGTAATTTTTTTTTTTCCATTGAAACCTGGATAGATTTGGTGTTGTCACAATCTTTTATTGTTCACAATCTTCAGTGATTCCCTCTAAACACAAATAATGTAGAGCAATGGTGTACTTGGCAGTTCTCTTCGACTCCGAGCTGCTATTACTTTTCAGAATAAACGAGCCAGAGCCATCACCTTCAGCAAAAACAACCAACAAGCTCTTTATCATGTTGCTAGAACAGAATGTTCCATTTTAAAAAAAAAAAAAAAAAAAAGTCCCTGACTTTAGAAGGTATATAACATACAAAAAAGAACATTTTCTTTCTAAAACGCAAACAAACCTTTAATTGTAAAGATGGTGGAAACCCATCTCTTGTAGATGAAGAGCAACCTCAGGGAGTCTCCGCGGTGCGTATCCGACAGCAGAAGCTTGCAGGGTCTTGTTTCACTGCACATTGCATTCAAGATTCAAAGCAGTAAGTACAAGTATGGTTTGATGGAACGACCATTCCAGTGGCACCAAACATGACAATTGTAAAATCGGTGTTAATTCTAATGTTCAACCAAACATTGAAATCGGAATAAATGATCCACATTATATTCCTAGTCAGATTCTATTCCATAAAAGGATTTGCCCTTAAAAGCATAAATAACTTAACAACTCAGAGTAAGTGGAAATGATAAACAATTATAACTAGTTAAGCTCACTTCGCGTGAATAATGGCATTGTGACATAAAGCAAGCGTCCGAACCATTGCCAATTCTCTTCCACGCGAATTACCATATCTCTCTTGGCAGCTCCTTAGGGGAAAAAAAAAATGTAAGAATGTCAAAATCGAGCACAAAAATCAAACCAAAAGATTGTGATCAGTTAAGTGGGAAAAAAGAAAAAAAAAGAAAAAAGAGAAGTGTTTGCTTTAGTTATTGAATTAGCATATTGATAGTAAGAGAAAGAGGCACCTCTCGTCAAAGAAATCTCCAAAGTCATCAATAATAATGGTGGAAGGTAATGTGTTATGCAAGTGAAAGGCAGCAAAGTACCTCTTAATGCCTTCATCATCCTCAACGTACCTATCATTAACAATACCAATACCAATACCATAACCTATTATTATATTATATAATATATCTTGTAAGATGAAAATCCCACTTGTTGTTTTGTCTTTCTGCTAGTCCTAGATACAATTTTCTCATGTAATGTAATCACTTACTTCATCTGTATGTGCTGAAAGGTATCCGAGGATGGATCAACATCCTGAAAAATTGAAGAAAAAATAGAAACAATTTTACAACCAAAACAAAGAGGGGGGAGGGAAGATAAATAGGTGACCTGAGAGAGAAAAGGTGGGTTGGATTCTAAGTTGCGGCGGTTGCAAATGAAGAGCACGTTTTGATGACTAAAGCTCGTCTGGGTCGCCGAGTTGTATGCATACTGGAATAGCAGAGACGTTTTTCCACTGCAATTCATTCATTTTCAGTATACATACACATATATATCTATACACACACACACACAACCAAATTAAATATATATATATATATATATAAATGTATATGTATATATAAATATCAGTCTCAGAGTGGAATGAAAAGGAAAGGAAAGGAAAGCGAGTGTACCTGGAAGGAGGACCCGAAAGAAGCATAATTGGATGAGAGTGAGAGTGAGAACGGTCCTCCATTTGCCTCGTTGAGAAGAATCTCTCAACCATCTTCTTCTTCTTCTTCACCGTTCCCACTCCATTCTCTGCAACTCAAAACCAACATTTCTCTTTTCTTTTCTTTTTGGGCTCCTCTGTCCAAATCCCCAAGTTTGGGCTCTGCTTCTTGGCCTCACATTGCCCGAACGGGCCTATCAGTGTGTGGCCCATTTTTCAATGTAAGCTGAGGAACTAGCCGAAGCCCAAAAGAAAGGAGAGAAAGTCCAAGAAAAAGGAGCGAAAATGAAAGAAAGTCCGCATAGTGAGGTAAATTGATTACACAGCAGACAGAGGCACAGCCTAATTAAATAGTGGTACGACGTACGTAAGTTACTGTACTCTGCATGGCAGAAAACAGGTCATAAGTAGTAGCACTCTGGTTCTCATAATTATATTATTTATTTTATATTGACTTTTACACACACCTCCATTGGTGATTTGGTTCAATCTATGTATTATTAATAATGATAATAGTATTAAGAAAACAAAATTGTGTATAAAGATATTTAGTTAGAAGATTTAAATTATGTGATTTGAATTAATTTTGATTTATGTAAATTTTTTATGAGAGAAAATATTATAGCGAATCATGAATCATGATTTAAATCAAGAAAGAGAATGAATCTCTCTGTCAAATATCCTCCATTGTTGCATTAAATACAAATGATCAATCTATTTACTCATTTATTGATATGTGACTAAAAACTAATTTCAGCGCTTTTCTAAAATACCTTCGTTATTACATGATTATTACCATCACTAATTCGTACACTAACTTGTTTATAAAACTTAAATCAACTGTACACGTGTAAAATATTTGAGAATATTCTTGCATCACCAATGTCTATGATCCTTCTAGTATATGAAGGCAAATAATAATAATAAAAGTAAAAATAAAAGACATGAATATATCGATCCAGATCAATAAAGTTATTTTTCTTGTTTTTCTTTTCGTTTGCTAAAGAATAAAGTGATTGAACGGATAAAAAAGTGGGGACTAAAATCCAAAGTAATGTTTGTTCCAACAAAAAAAAAAAAAAAGGGAGTTTCATGAAAAAAAAAAAATGTAGATAGTTATTTATTTTTTAACTGTTATATCTATATTAAAAATTATTTCTTACATATTTTTTAATATAATGTAATTTTTATTATATCCCATAATTAGAAATTGACATTATTACTGAGGAGGCCTGTAGAAAAAATTCTGAAAAGAAAAAGAGAAACAATCTTACGATATAATTAGAAAGGTTGCTCTTTTTATTTTCTCCCTTAAACCTATGTCCATGCATATCTAGCTGGCAAAACAAGGGGTGCCAACTTCGAAGGTGTTTTCAGATGTAGATTCCTAGTTTTGGAAGATACAGGTCTTATTCATTTTATAGATTTGAGTTTTTAATTTGAGTTAAAATGTGATATTTTTTAAGAGTTTTTAACTGTAACTGAAAAAATTAGATGTAGCATTTTATGAGAGTTTTTAACTGTAAAAATTTAAAACTAAAAACTCAAATTGGTGAAATAAATGAGCTCATAGTGTAATTATATAATAATATCATATTTTATTCATTTTTTCCTTATAAAAAGCTTCTTTTACTAGTGGTATGTGGTTATGAGCCCGTTTAGTTCGCTGATTCAAGTTTTTAATTTGAGTTGATATATGATTTTATATGAGAGCTTTTTACTGTAATAAAAAAGTTAGATGTGAGTGTTTCTGAGAGCTTTTAACTATAGCAAAACTCAAATCGGTGAAATGAACGGGACCTATAAGATCACATCAAAATAATAAAAAAATGTGTAATTAACAAAAAAAAATAGAAAATATATGTATAGATTTATATATATATATATATATATATATACACACGAGGAATGTTAAATATAGATTCTCTTTCAAATACTATCTTATCTATTTGACATGTGTCATTTTAATTTTATTAAACAAACACACTTAACAATAAATTACTTTTTTTAATCATATTTACAACCCCGCCATCCCTCATTTTCCAGTTTAAAATAGTAACTTTTATCCTATGCACTATATAGATTCTCTTTCAAATACTATCTTATCTATTTGACATGTGTTATTTTAATTTTATTAAACAAACACACTTAACAATAAATTACTTTTTTAATCATATTTACAAGACCGCCATCCCTCATTTTCCAGCTTAAAATAGTAACTTTTATCCTATGCACTTATATATAAATAAATAAATATATTGCTGAGAATTTTATGCACGCACGCACACATTGTTAACTTTTCTGTTTATGGCAGTGCCATTAAGGCCCTTATCTACAGCAGCAAGTTTCTGGCTTTCTCCATAACCACTCATCTTCTCCCCGTTCCATATCCAGAGACATTGACATTTTCCCTTTATAAATCATAAAACCTGTTGACGGTCAAATTTTATCAATAAAAAATTAATCGGGTTACCTCTTAATTTTTTTTTAGTTTACCGGCCGTGGGTGTATTAAACGTGTGTGGATTTATTGAACATGTGTATTTGTGTGTTAACTAAATTATACATGGACAAATGACACCATGAATTTTTATAGTAGTTCACTCTATAAAACGAGAGCTACATCCACTGTGACTTTGTATTTATGTTTAGAAGGTAATAATTTACAGCCATTGCTCTTCTTCAATCTCCTTTTCTTTTTAATTTCTCAACCCCTGCCTCACTGGGGGTCTTCCTCCTTTTATACTGGGCTTCTTTCGTTCAGGGGGTTCCCTTTCTAGGTGGGAGCACTCAAGTGCCCTTCCTCGGTAAGCCAAGACATAGCCCACTAATAAGCACTGTTCACTCAGCTAATTAGTCTCCTATTATGGCTATGTGCTTCTCCGTAATACTTTTCTGTCCCCTATGTGGGGCGGTTTGAGAGCTTGTAATTAATGCCTGCAGACGTTTTCCACTTAAGCACGCAACTCGTCACGTCTTCTAAAGAACGTTCCCCTCGTCGTCAGCGCGGCTTGGCCTAATCGCCCACTTTGGATCCTTTCTGCAGCCGAGGGATCTTCGTGCCTACGGCGCAATCTGTCGACGCCATAAGGGATCGTCGTCCTAATTTGGGCTTCGCGCTGTCCAACGGGATAGGAGAGGTCCGTAGACATCGAGGGTTTTTTGCTTGGTGGGGAGTGGTCAGGACCACGTGTCGCATTATCGTCTGTCCACGTGTCCGTCACATTTCCCCACATGACAGCTACCCCCCAGGTCGAGGGCTCCTTTTGGGCGGCCTCAGACTTAGGTTCGGTTGTCCTTCCGTGCTTTGGGTGTGGGAAACCGGTCCCGAGCCTCCGTTTGAAATGATGGCCTGGGCGCTTCGGATTTCCTTCGGGGGACGCAATTATCGCGTCGATTGATTTCTCATGATAACGTACGGCCTTATTTTGAAAGGACGAAAATGGGCCCTTGGATCGCGACCTCTCTGCTTCCCGCCCTCTTTTATCACCGTTAGATCCGGGTAGGATTCCCTTGCCGTTGGATTTGTTTAAAATCTTCATTTGACGGTCAGGGTCGAGGACGTCCGTTCCTTTAAATGCCCTCTACGAACTCGAGAGCCATTTTTTCAAGACTTCAAACTCTCTTCGCACCTGTTGGACTGTCGCCTTCTCCGACGGACTCCTCCCTCTCTTACCTCCGGTTCGTGCTTCTTGCTCTTCGAGGCGTATCGCGCAACCGTTCTTTCTTCCAGACTTTCCCGGGAATCCTTCTTCATCGGTAAGCCTTTCCACCCTCTGTCCGCTTTTCTCATACACGGGCTCCTTCTATTCTTTTCGTTTGAACTATGTGTTTATGTCTAAAGAATGTGCGGAATGTAGAAGTTAGGGAGACTTACCCCGTTTTGTTTTTCCGCTGTGGATATCATATCTTTGCTGTCTGTGTGCGTCCGGTTTATGGGTTCTGGGGAACCTGGAATCCTATGAGCACTCGCCGTTACCATTCCCATATGAATGGTCGACGTCAAGTCGAGGCGTTTTGAGTTGTCGTCGTTTAGAATAACCATCCTTTCTTCCTCTCGACGTCAGGGTTTTAACTTAGCTTCTTGTCTTTTTAATCACCAGAACAATGGCCCAAAGTTCCCCCAGCCGAGAGAATTCTCCTGTCGTCCGTCCAGACCCCCCTCTATGGTGGAGATTTCATGGTCTTCTTCGTCTTCCAGCGTCGACTCCGTGCTGAGGGACACTGAAGATGTTGGAGAAAGATATGAGCCGGGCGACGACTTCGGAAGTTAATTCGGTAGCGTCGAACGGTTTCTGGATGAGATAGTTGAACGGATCCCCTTCACCGGGGGCAGAGTAGGCGGGGTGGCTGCCTCGACGGTAGATGCCCCCCTGGCTGCCACGAGTGGTGAGCCGGATAGGCCTTTCTTCACAGCCGATGTTGTGGCGTCGAGGGTCCGGAACAAAGATATCATCCGGGCTGTGAAGGAAGGATGCATTGACGGGAAGTGGTTCGAATACCTTATTCCGGATGTGCATTTTAGAACCAGCATGCCGCCGACCGGATACCTTCCGGTCTATACTAGAGCGGTTACGGCAGGCATGACCCTCCCAGTTCATCCCTTTGTAAAGGACTACTGCCATTTTTACGGCATCTCCCCTGTTCAGCTGGCGCCAAAATTCTGGTACTGCTTCGCCGGTGCCTGGATTTTATGGCACCAGCAATTCGATATGGAACTCCCCGTAGATGAGTTCCGATTTATGTATAAGTTATGCCACGTTGTCAAGTGTGAGGGGTGGTATTTTTTGAGCGGTCATGGGAGGTCTCAGCCCATATTCGGGAAGCTTATACTGGGCATTCCCTCGTCGTCACATGGGTGGAAGCCCATGTTCTCCATGATTCACGGGCCTTTCAATTTTCACCCTAACGACCGCCTACCGCGCCGAAGGCAGGTGTATGCGGCGTTTGGAAACATGGGTGAGGATTTTGATTTCCCTTTATTTTACTTCGCCTATTTCCGTTCATATGCTGATTATCTTCTATCCTTCAGTTAACCAGGATCGGCTGAAGTTTTCTGGCAACAGCTTAGCGAGG